AGTGTAGAAAAAAATTGACACCCAGATCCGAGTAGAGGAAGACCTTTTTTATGACCAAAAACGCATGAAAAACCAAAAAAACTTACCAAAAAAATTCAATTTTTCTTAGGCAGAAGATTTTATTGCATATTCTTGCACAAAATACACCGAAAAGTGTAGAAAAAAATTGACACCCAGATCCGAGTAGAGGAAGACCTTTTTTATGACCAAAAACGCATGAAAAACCAAAAAAATTCAATTTTTCTTAGGCAGAAGATTTTATTGCATATTCTTGCACAAAATACACCGAAAAGTGTAGAAAAAAATTGACACCCAGATCCGAGTAGAGGAAGACCATTTTTATGACCAAAAACACATCCAAAAACAAACAAAATCTTTCCAAAAAAATTCAATTTTTCTTAGGCAGACGATTTTATTCCATATTCTTGCACAAAATACACCGAAAAGTGTAGAAAAAAATTGACACCCAGATCCGAGTAGAGGAAGACCTTTTTTATGACCAAAAACGCATGAAAAACCAAAAAAACTTACCAAAAAAATTCAATTTTTCTTAGGCAGAAGATTTTATTGCATATTCTTGCACAAAATACACTGAAAAGTGTAGAAAAAAATTGACACCCAGATCCGAGTAGAGGAAGACCCTTTTCATGACCAAAAACGCATGAAAAACCAAAAAAAATTACCAAAAAAATTCAATTTTTCTTAGGCAGAAGATTTTATTGCATATTCTTGCACAAAATACACTGAAAAGTGTAGAAAAAAATTGACACCCAGATCCGAGTAGAGGAAGACCCTTTTCATGACCAAAAACGCATGAAAAACCAAAAAAAATTACCAAAAAAATTCAATTTTTCTTAGGCAGAAGATTTTATTGCATATTCTTGCACAAAATACACCGAAAAGTGTAGAAAAAAATTGACACCCAGATCCGAGTAGAGGAAGACCTTTTTTATGACCAAAAACGCATGAAAAACCAAAAAAACTTACCAAAAAAATTCAATTTTTCTTAGGCAGAAGATTTTATTGCATATTCTTGCACAAAATACACTGAAAAGTGTAGAAAAAAATTGACACCCAGATCCGAGTAGAGGAAGACCCTTTTCATGACCAAAAACGCATGAAAAACCAAAAAAAATTACCAAAAAAATTCAATTTTTCTTAGGCAGAAGATTTTATTGCATATTCTTGCACAAAATACACCGAAAAGTGTAGAAAAAAATTGACACCCAGATCCGAGTAGAGGAAGACCCTTTTCATGACCAAAAACGCATGAAAAACCAAAAAAACTTACCAAAAAAATTCAATTTTTCTTAGGCAGAAGATTTTATTGCATATTCTTGCACAAAATACACCGAAAAGTGTAGAAAAAAATTGACACCCAGATCCGAGTAGAGGAAGACCTTTTTTATGACCAAAAACGCATGAAAAACCAAAAAAACTTACCAAAAAAATTCAATTTTTCTTAGGCAGAAGATTTTATTGCATATTCTTGCACAAAATACACCGAAAAGTGTAGAAAAAAATTGACACCCAGATCCGAGTAGAGGAAGACCATTTTTATGACCAAAAACACATCCAAAAACAAACAAAATCTTTCCAAAAAAATTCAATTTTTCTTAGGCAGACGATTTTATTCCATATTCTTGCACAAAATACACCGAAAAGTGTAGAAAAAAATTGACACCCAGATCCGAGTAGAGGAAGACCTTTTTTATGACCAAAAACGCATGAAAAACCAAAAAAACTTACCAAAAAAATTCAATTTTTCTTAGGCAGAAGATTTTATTGCATATTCTTGCACAAAATACACTGAAAAGTGTAGAAAAAAATTGACACCCAGATCCGAGTAGAGGAAGACCCTTTTCATGACCAAAAACGCATGAAAAACCAAAAAAAATTACCAAAAAAATTCAATTTTTCTTAGGCAGAAGATTTTATTGCATATTCTTGCACAAAATACACTGAAAAGTGTAGAAAAAAATTGACACCCAGATCCGAGTAGAGGAAGACCCTTTTCATGACCAAAAACGCATGAAAAACCAAAAAAAATTACCAAAAAAATTCAATTTTTCTTAGGCAGAAGATTTTATTGCATATTCTTGCACAAAATACACCGAAAAGTGTAGAAAAAAATTGACACCCAGATCCGAGTAGAGGAAGACCTTTTTTATGACCAAAAACGCATGAAAAACCAAAAAAACTTACCAAAAAAATTCAATTTTTCTTAGGCAGAAGATTTTATTGCATATTCTTGCACAAAATACACTGAAAAGTGTAGAAAAAAATTGACACCCAGATCCGAGTAGAGGAAGACCCTTTTCATGACCAAAAACGCATGAAAAACCAAAAAAAATTACCAAAAAAATTCAATTTTTCTTAGGCAGAAGATTTTATTGCATATTCTTGCACAAAATACACCGAAAAGTGTAGAAAAAAATTGACACCCAGATCCGAGTAGAGGAAGACCTTTTTTATGACCAAAAACGCATGAAAAACCAAAAAAACTTACCAAAAAAATTCAATTTTTCTTAGGCAGAAGATTTTATTGCATATTCTTGCACAAAATACACCGAAAAGTGTAGAAAAAAATTGACACCCAGATCCGAGTAGAGGAAGACCTTTTTTATGACCAAAAACGCATGAAAAACCAAAAAAACTTACCAAAAAAATTCAATTTTTCTTAGGCAGAAGATTTTATTGCATATTCTTGCACAAAATACACCGAAAAGTGTAGAAAAAAATTGACACCCAGATCCGAGTAGAGGAAGACCTTTTTTATGACCAAAAACGCATGAAAAACCAAAAAAACTTACCAAAAAAATTCAATTTTTCTTAGGCAGAAGATTTTATTGCATATTCTTGCACAAAATACACCGAAAAGTGTAGAAAAAAATTGACACCCAGATCCGAGTAGAGGAAGACCATTTTTATGACCAAAAACACATCCAAAAACAAACAAAATCTTTCCAAAAAAATTCAATTTTTCTTAGGCAGACGATTTTATTCCATATTCTTGCACAAAATACACCGAAAAGTGTAGAAAAAAATTGACACCCAGATCCGAGTAGAGGAAGACCTTTTTTATGACCAAAAACGCATGAAAAACCAAAAAAACTTACCAAAAAAATTCAATTTTTCTTAGGCAGAAGATTTTATTGCATATTCTTGCACAAAATACACTGAAAAGTGTAGAAAAAAATTGACACCCAGATCCGAGTAGAGGAAGACCCTTTTCATGACCAAAAACGCATGAAAAACCAAAAAAAATTACCAAAAAAATTCAATTTTTCTTAGGCAGAAGATTTTATTGCATATTCTTGCACAAAATACACTGAAAAGTGTAGAAAAAAATTGACACCCAGATCCGAGTAGAGGAAGACCCTTTTCATGACCAAAAACGCATGAAAAACCAAAAAAAATTACCAAAAAAATTCAATTTTTCTTAGGCAGAAGATTTTATTGCATATTCTTGCACAAAATACACCGAAAAGTGTAGAAAAAAATTGACACCCAGATCCGAGTAGAGGAAGACCTTTTTTATGACCAAAAACGCATGAAAAACCAAAAAAACTTACCAAAAAAATTCAATTTTTCTTAGGCAGAAGATTTTATTGCATATTCTTGCACAAAATACACTGAAAAGTGTAGAAAAAAATTGACACCCAGATCCGAGTAGAGGAAGACCCTTTTCATGACCAAAAACGCATGAAAAACCAAAAAAAATTACCAAAAAAATTCAATTTTTCTTAGGCAGAAGATTTTATTGCATATTCTTGCACAAAATACACCGAAAAGTGTAGAAAAAAATTGACACCCAGATCCGAGTAGAGGAAGACCCTTTTCATGACCAAAAACGCATGAAAAACCAAAAAAACTTACCAAAAAAATTCAATTTTTCTTAGGCAGAAGATTTTATTGCATATTCTTGCACAAAATACACCGAAAAGTGTAGAAAAAAATTGACACCCAGATCCGAGTAGAGGAAGACCTTTTTTATGACCAAAAACGCATGAAAAACCAAAAAAACTTACCAAAAAAATTCAATTTTTCTTAGGCAGAAGATTTTATTGCATATTCTTGCACAAAATACACCGAAAAGTGTAGAAAAAAATTGACACCCAGATCCGAGTAGAGGAAGACCTTTTTTATGACCAAAAACGCATGAAAAACCAAAAAAACTTACCAAAAAAATTCAATTTTTCTTAGGCAGAAGATTTTATTGCATATTCTTGCACAAAATACACCGAAAAGTGTAGAAAAAAATTGACACCCAGATCCGAGTAGAGGAAGACCAATTTTATGACCATTAAAGCGATTTTCGTAAAAAAAAAATTTTCAAAAATATTCAATTTTTCTTAGGCAGACTATTTTATTGCATTTTCTTGCACAAAATACACCTAAAAGTGTAGAAAAAAATTGACAGCCCGATCCGAGTAGAGGAACACCAATTTTATGACCATTAAAGCGATTTTCGTAAAAAAAACAATTTTCAAAAAAATTCAATTTTTCTTAGGCAGACTATTTTATTGCAATTTCTTTCACAAAATACACCCAACATATTGTAAATTTAGATGTTTAATACATGCACTTTTTGCTTCCTCTTTACGATCAGCAAAAAATTTTGCTTTCTCGTGGAGAAAGCATTAACATCGAAATAAACTTTCAAATATTCAATGAGATTTTCTTTACTAAATTAAATTTTTTTAAATTTTCAATAGGGAAATAGAATTCCTTAAAATTCTTTAAGTATTAAAGTCACAAAACTTGTGTCAACAGGGAACAAATTCTTTTTATTAAATTCACAATGTATGTGTAAATTAAAAATCCCTGTTACTAATTTTAAAGCACTTAAACACACTTCCTCTTTCTCTCTCTCTACTTCCTCTATATAAGAGAAAGCAATATGTTCACAAAATTTAAAATATGAAAACAAACACTTGCAAATTATTATGGCAATGTTTTTCCATTTTCTTTTAGTAGGAAATTTTTGAATCTTACCTTTTTGATAAAAAATTTTCTAATCAGTTGAAAAAATCAAAAATCCACTTCAGTATTCATCCATTTTAGCTCTTGCTTTCTTTAAATCTGAAATAAATTATATAATGAAAATTTTTTTTACGCCCAAAAATAAATATATTTAAAAAAAAGACGAAAATAATAATGCACCCGCTAATAAAACTGGAATTTCATTTCTTAAAATATTTATAGTTGTTTCGTCTTCCTGTCCATTAATATTTTTCAATTTGAGTGAAATTTTATTAAATGGAGATGAATCATCACCGGGAACAACTTCAAAACTTGTCAGACGATTTACTGAAAATTTCGAAAAAATCAAAATTTTATTATGATTTCAAGAAAATATTTTTATAATTTTTTTTTGGGTAAAACAATCTTTTATTAACTTACGTCTAAGCGATTGAGATGTAAGAATAGCAGTAACTTGAGGACAATTATCAGTGTGAATCCTTGCAATTGCAGCACTATGTTCACGAGGAAGTCCAAGTTGTTGTAATTCACTGCTTAAATCTGCTGGAGAAACTCCATAACGAGCCGAAGATGTTAAAATTAATTCCAATGCCGCTACAATTGCTTTTGAATCATCCAATTCTATTTTTTTAAAAAGAAAATAATATCAAATTTTTGTTAAATATCAAATTTTATTAAAAATTTTTATTAAATTTGTTTTTTTTTTAATTTTTATTTAAAATAAATTTCTCTATTTCATTAAATGTCAATTAATTAATTACTAAATAGAGGTAAGACTCACCAAGTTTAGCATCTTGTGTTAATTTCTTTACTTTTTCCTCCTGAAAATAAAAAATAATATAATAAATAAATTTGAAGTAATAAAAAAATGTAAATTAAAATTTTTTAAATTTGCATTTATTAAAAACATTTTTTTTCTGCTTTTGTTTTGTGTAATGTCATTCATAAAAGTGAACTCTGAAACTGTACGCATAAATATATATAATAGTGTGATGAAAATAGAAATAAAAGAACCGGTTAAAGTATATATATAAATTTATCTTTTTCTCTTCTATTCTTTTCTTGCTACGAGGTGACAGTTTCAATATATATCCAAGCCTTCCATAAAGCTACATTGAGTTAGGTTCCACGGTTGGAAAATTCAGACATAACGTCAGCCCTACGTAAATGTTACATTATAATATGTCAAATAGAAATTTGAAAATAAAATTTTTTTCTCAAATTAATCTTTCAAATTATTTAAAAACAAAATATAAAGAATATTCATAACATTAATTTTTATTAATTATTTATTATAACTTTCGTATATATTTTAATTTTCATTCACCTTTTTTTACTGATTATAATAATTAATGATTAATTTATAAAATGACAATAAATTTTTCTATTTTCGAAATAAGATTAAAAAGAAATAATTTATTCAAAATCCTATATTAAAAATAAAAATACTTACATCAAACTCTCCTTCCGTTAATGATTTGACGACAACCTGACCGAGTAACTTCATTTTAATTGATGTCTAAAAAAATAATTAATTTTTACATTTTGTCTATGTATAGAAAATTCTTTTCAAATATATACAAGAAAGAAGGAAATTTTTCTTACCATTCGTGATAATGTATTTATTTCAGCCAGCAGCCAATCAGGACAGTCTCCATCACCCAAGAAACGAAATCTCTGAAAATATATTAAAATTTTCATTATAAAAATACTACTATTAATTAGTATAAAACTTGTCTTGAATTATTATTTAATGAATTATAATAACCGAAATAAAATAACTCACCATTGTGTTTAATTTCTATATTGGATATTTCACTGTAAGATTTCTGTAACAGAAAAAAAAATTTATGATTATTTTTCATTATTAAAATTTTGAAATATTTTAATAACATTATAAACATATTACTAAATAAATAATTTAATCGTATTAAAAGATATTATAAAAACGAAAAAAAATTAATGTATTGAAGGTAAAACATGAGTGAAGTAATCTGACAGTAGTAAAAACTTTCTGTGGTCAGACACACAGTCAGGGAAATTTGTAATAATTTCCAACGCGGAAATAAATTCTCCCTGGCTTTATAATTTATTTTTCACTTGAAAAGGTGTTGAAAGTTAACATGTAAATAAATAAATAAATTTTACTTCAAAAAAAGTAAAATCATTAAAGCGCCTGTGAAGAATTAATTCTAAGTTGCTTTAAACCAAAGGGGTTGGAATATATTCGCAATTTAATTTCATGTGTTTATTAATCAAGAAAGTTAAACGTTGTGTATCAAATAGTTTTCCCTCTAATTCTCTTCCACGACTCATTTACAATTTTGTTCATAAATAGTCAAAATAATCAGTCAAACATGATTTTACTTGACAAATTTTCTTTATTTTATTTTTTTAAATTCATTTTTTGGAATTAGGTATATTATTTGGATTGACCTTTACGAGCAAAAAAAAAAATATTCTTTCGCATTTCATAAATATTTAAATATGGACCTTATTAAATATAAATATATATATATAGGGAAAATTTTACAATGAAAAATTGAATTTTCTGTTTCCGGTGCAAGTGCACTGTGTTGAATAAATGCGAGATACGCGGGGTATATTAAATAATAATAAAAAAAAAATATATATTAAAAAGCATCTGGACTGTATTCGATGTTTACCCTCGTCGACCAGGAAATTGACATGGGGCAATGTGTTGTGTACGAATTCCCCATGCAATCCGCGGGATCTTCGAACCGCAACGAAACAACCCCTGGGAAGAAATCCTGGTCACCATAAATACAGAAGTAACTCAGAAAATCAAGCCATTTCAATTCTGAATCATAAAAGTGGTGGTGCTCGCAAATATCCAACAGGTGACTGTTGCAACAGGTCTGTAATTATTTATTATTTTCATTATTTATTTATTTACTTTATTATATATCATTTTTATATTTATTCAAAAAAAAAAAATTTTAATTGAATAAAAATGAATTAAAAACTATAATAATGTTAAAATATAAAATCATAAACTTGATGAAAATCGACTTTCTTTTTTGCCTATAAATTTAAAGCGATTCTTTTTCGAGCGTGGGGTCTTTTATTCATATATGTAGTTTATATTATGAGGTGAGAATATGTTAAGTGTCGCAAATAAGTGGTTTTCAAAAATAGACTTTTGCTCTTAAAAAAATGGGACATTTATCAAAAGTGATATTGACTTTGTTTCTAAAATTAGTCACTTAAAAACAAATTTTTTTTTTATTCAAAATTTTTTTTCTACTCTATAATAATTCTATAATCTAAAATGTAGGGCAAAAAATTTTTATTTCTTCAATATTAGAAAAATTCGAATTTTCATTTTTGTCCTAATTCCGTTTCTTTAATTGAAAATTTTAATATAATTATTTTCCTAATTAAATGTAATAAACAAAAAAAGCAAATTATTCTTTACTATTTTTTTTTCTCAGGATGAGGAAAATTCTCTTATCTCTGGCTTTGCTTACAACAGTGACTTCAGAGGATTTTGACGTGAGTTCATAAATTTTCCAAAAAATTTTTCAAATTTCTTTCTAACAAAAATTTCCTATTTAAAATTTTTTTTTTAAATTTCTCCAGAAAAAAAGAACTTTCTTAATTTTTTATTCAAAAAAAAAGAAAAATTTCACACATGACATTTGTATAACGAAAAAAAAAACACATCAAAAAGTTAAATTATGTGAGTGATATTTCAATTTCAATTGAAATATAAATATATTACGCATTGTTTAAATGAATTGAAATAATTTTATTTTCTTTCTCAAAGAAACATCGTAAAAAAAAAACTTTTGTCCCTCTTAACTTTACGCGTCACAAATTTATCTCACGAAAATAAATATATTTTTCTGCATACTCGAGACAATGACATTACATTACATAAGTGTGAATGTATTATTTTTAGACGAAAAAGCATCGTCCCTTATTGTCAGAAGGCGAGCCTCAATTCTGGTTCGCGAGAGGCAGTCACTTCCCATGGGATTTTACCCATTTTGAGTTTGACCAATCCTCGAAAGATAAGGATGTAAGACGTCTTCAAGACACAGAATCATCACTCAACAAAATTTCTACCCACGATCTCAACAGGTAAATACAATTCCAAAAAAAAAATTAAAATAAATTAAATCTTCCGTTTTATCAAAAAAAAAAAAAGAAAATAAAACTAAAAAAAAATTTGATGAAAATAGAATGTGACTTTCCATAAGGTTGATTTCACGTCACTGACGTTCTGAATTATTATGTAGATATTTTTTCCGCTAAAAATTTCGTGAAATATTGTTTGAAATTGATAATCCCCTTATATTGATCTTTTTTTCAATTTATTCAATTAATTATTAAAAATAAATGGAAAAAGAATTTTTAAATAAAAAAAAAAAATACTTTAAAAAAGAAAAAAAATTTGTTTTTAATTTTCTCTTTCTGTCAACAATAGATTTGGATTTAACAATCCTAATTCTCAAAACGCTCAAGAAGATCGATTGGATAATCATCAAAGAATCGATGGTATTTACAATAAAAAGAAAGCAAATTTTCTCACATTACCAACTAGAGATTCAATTTTAACAAATTCACCATTAAATCAAGAAACAATTGATTGTACATTAAAAAAATGTTCTCCACAATTTCAAAGTTGGCGATTAATTGAACCACTCTATGTTGAGGAACCAAAGTTTGTTCAAATAAATTCCGGCGAATTTGACACAAAACTTGGAGAATATGAACCATTTTTTGTAACTCGAGGTAAAAGATCAATGAAATTAAAAATATTAACCCCTAAAAATAATAATGATTTCACTATCGAAAATAAATTAAAATCCCAAAAACGTGACACTATTCAAGAAAATAATAACAAAATTGTCGATGAAAAAAGTGAGAAAAAGAAAAATATAAAAATTATACAAAAACGAAGTGAAAACAATGATAATGATAATGAAAAATTATTAACAAATCTTGAGAAAAGTTTAAATATTAAAGGTGGTACAGGAAAAAGTTTCAGTTATTTACATCCACGTAATAAACATTCAGATATTTTAGAAATTCTCGACGATCCATTTTTTATTTCCCGAGGAAAAAAGAATAATAATAACAACAACTATTATTATTATCATCATCCAATTAATGATTATTCAATGAAAGATTATTTATGGGATCAATATCTTAATCAGCATTTGGATAAATTTTTATCCGATTTCAAAACAGAAGATAAAATATTACCGGAAATTGATTTAACTGCGAAACAACAAATTTTGGAAAAAATTTTCAACAATGATATTCGTAAGAAGAGAATTAATAATGAAAATAGAAAACTTTATGAATCAAATACAAAAAGAAATATTTTGGATGAAATTAAATTGGATTTAGATCCTTTTTATATTGCAAGAGGTTGAAATTATTTAATTATATATTAAATCAAAAATGAAATTGTAAAATGTAAATTTAACAGTGCGTTGCTTAAAAAATAATAAAATATGTTTTTAAATATATGTCACCCTATCGCATCCTATTTATAATTTCATAGCTTTTTTATTACTAAATGCTCCCATTATTTGAAAAAAAAATCAATTTTTTCCCAAATGAAACAAAATTACGATTTTTTTTTCTTTTGTCAATTTTTTCAAGACTGCAAAAAATAATTTGCATTTGAATTTTTTTTTTTTTTTAATGGAAGATACGCTCGACCTAATTTATCGACTGGAACTAAAGTCATCCTGTTCAACCTACTGTGATTCCTAATTTCGAATTTCTGCCGACTAATACCAGAACCTAGAAACCAAAATAATATTTTAATATAGAACATTCAAATAAAAATTGAATTTTTGTTTTTTTTATTTTACAACCATCTTTCGATAAAATAATAAATCAGAATTTATTTGTGAAAAATGTTTTTTTGACAAAAATTTATTTTGTTAATTTTCAAAAATTGTCTCTCGTGTCCTCGAAAATGAAAATAATAAAAAAAATTATTGTGAAAAATATTGGAGTGCATATATTTTAGAAGAATGAGGATTGCACAAAGTGGCAGTGACACACGTGCTATATGCAAAAAGAATTCATGCTCTCAGCAATTTTTCAACTAGCGGTTAAACATATTTCAGTAGGTGGCTTTCACAGATGCTCTCGTCTCCTACTCTATTTTTGAATTTCCTAATCAGTTAGATTACACCTGGAGCTATAATTCGTCATACATTTTAACACCTGCAACAGGGGGAGGGTTTTTTTCTCTCTCGAAAATCCCTGATTATTTTTCCATGACGCAAACACAGTTTTTAAAAAATAATATATATTTTTTAATTTATTATCAATATTAATTAATTTTTCTAGAAATTTAAAATTAGAAGAATATTTTTTTTTCATTCCATAAATAAATTAATATTTGACAAAAATAAAATTTAATTTCGTATACATGAGTTAATTAATGTTCTAGGGGTTGTAATTATTAATCGAATAAGGGATCCTAATTAATATCTTTTGATATTTTATGTAAGAAAAAAAATTTAGCTTTTGTATAGGGAAAATTATTGATTTCACTATTAAAATAAGACGCATCAAAGATCATTTTTGTTTGAGGGTGAATAAAACTTGATTAGTATTAAATAATTTGCTTTAAATTGCATCTATCATTAAAGTTTATAATTACTAGTTTGTAACTTATCAAAGGATTCACAGTAAACTGTATAAAATGATGCAATATAAAAAAAAACTTCAAGGAGAAAAAAACCAAAAAAGAAACTCAAGGATTTTAACCATTTAAATTTCAAAATAGTCAAAAAAAACATTGTTAAAATAATTTTCCCCCACGAAATAAATTTAGAAAAAAAAATAATTTTTTTGAAAAAAAAAAAATTTTCTATTTTTTGTAAATATTAATTAAATTTAATAATGGAAAAAATTAATTTTTCCTAATCGAGAACTTAAATGGGGGGGGGAGAAAATTGATAATTATTGTTTATTAATAGATAAAGAAACAAAAGAAAAAATCAAAAGATGTGTCCTTAGAGAGATTTCTAGGGGGTAGAATTGGCGTGTAGGCGCGAGGTAAGTACCGGCAGTTTCCCGGGGCGGTTTTTGAACCAATAGGAGCGCGAGTTGTTGGTCACGTTGGTCCTATAAGATAAGCGTCGCGCATCCACGAATGCCCATTGCATCCATCCTCAGCAGCTCGCAGGATCAACAAATAATAAATAAAAAAAAAAAACAAAAAAAAAGTGCGTGTTAATCGTAAAGTTGTGGAATACGAAAAAAAATTTCTTTTCCAAGTTTCATCAAGAGCAATTCACTTTTAAACGGCCTTACAAAAAAAACATCTTCGTGTTTATCTATTCTTACGCGGTAAGAACAAGTTTGTTTTTTGTTACATTCAAAATACAGTGTTTTTATAATGATAAAATTTTCATCGGATAAGTGAAAAAGTTTTTGTGATAAAAAAGAAAAAAAAAGATCGTTCTTTGGGTCTTATCAGTTCAATGGCAGTAGTGGATATACCAAATTCAAGGCTAATATTGTTGTTAATATGCATTTTTTTTTTAATAAGAGTCTTATTATATTTATTTTATTAATAATTAATATTTTTAAAATTCAAAATTCTCCTATTTTATTATTATTATAGTTATTTTTTAATATCAGGGAAATTAAATAATAAAAAAATTTCTTGACCAAAAATTATATTTTTTTAAATTAATTAAGAAATTATTTTCTAAATTCACACTTTTTTTTAATCAATTTTCCGGGTTTTAACCGGAAAAAGAAATTGTAATTAAACTGTAAATTTGTTTATTATTTAAAAATTTGCTTATTTAATTATTTAAATTCTTTATATTATATATTTTTGTTAACTTGGGAAAATTTTAATTTAAATAAATTTAATTTCTCACTATTCTATTTTTAAAAATAATTGCGGGTAAATATTAAAAAATTCATTTTAAAAGCTATAACTTTTATAGAAAAAAAAAGTAGAGTTCGAAAAAACTATAAAAAAAACCTGTTGATCAAAATCAAATATTGTTGTGTGAATTTTTTTTCAAATTAAGTTCCTCATATGTGACAGAAAAAAAATATATGATCCATAAAAATGAAATCTTATAATTTATTTATGCGACAGGAAATCAAAATTCTTTTTTTTTATATCAAATATTGCATGTAAATAAAAAAAAAAAAATTTGGTTTACTTTATTTCGTCATCAGAAGATATTTCTGTTTAATTACACTTGGTCACAAATGTTTTATCAGATAATAAGGAAAATTTTTCGCGTGATATGACGAAAAATAATTAATACTTCCTCGAGTCGTATCACGTATCTTCCTAATTGTTTGACTTCTTTTTTTTTAAACGAGGATCAATTTTCAAGTAATATCTGATAATTACATTATTATCCAATCTATACAAATAATAACTAATTTCCGTTAATTAGTGTTCCAAATTAATTAATTTCACATGTATATAATTAATTCATTAAAATATTTCTTATTAATTAAAATGTATGGAATTCATTTGAAATTAGTGTTTTTTCAGTATTTGTAAATAATTAATTAAATAAAACAAATACTGTTCTATAGAATTTTTAGAAATTTTTTTGAATTCTCAATTACTTAATGTTTATTACAAAAATTTAATTTATTCGGTAATTAGAAATGCATGTATTTTTCTTATTACGATAAATTATTGTATTAACATTCAAAATAAGGAGAAATTATGGACACTATATATAATAACTAATTTGCATAGACTAAAAAACTAATCGAAATATGTTCATTAAATCCCACACGGTCAAAAGTCAAACACGCTAAAAATTATTCTTGATTTCTTTGCGATGCATTAAATACAATAAATTTTGGTTTTAATCTGCAAAGTCAGTGACATCTCTAATTCTGGTTACACAAGGACGTTGTGGGTCTAAATATTCTCTATCAATAGTTACGTCATTTATATCTTGATAATATACTCCTTTTAAAATGACCTTCTTTTTCGCATTCCTAATATTTATAACTTCCACTTTCTACAAAATTTTTGATGATGATTTGTAAATTTTTTTCATTGCATCATATATATATAATTTGCTACTTAAAAAAAAACGATACCAAAAGAGGACGATCTCTAAATTTTTTAGTGCAATATTTATTTTTATTTAGAAAAAAAAATGAATATTAAATTATTTATTGAAAAATATTAAAATATAAATATTTTTTAAAAAATCTTTTAAAAACTAATCACATTTTTTTGAAAAAAAATTACTAATTGCCATTATTTACTTTTCGTTATAAAAAATTAGACTAAACTTGTTTGGTAGAGAAATTATTTTCTGGAATTTAATAATTTTTTATTTAAAAAAAGTTTTAAAAAAATTTTTTTTAATTTTTTGCATCAAATATAAATATTATTGACAAAATATTATAATTTCGGGTTCATTTTTTTTTATATTTGATCCCTTGAAACAGCTGCAATTAAAGAGGCGAAATAGTTTATAAAATAATTCTCCCTTGAACAAAAGCTCTAAAAGCTTTCGCTAATATGATTAACGTAGGGCTTGTTGACAAAACCGATGTGCTTTTTCATTTCTTGGTTTATGTGTATATTGATCACGTTTTATTTTGTCATGTTATGTGTCATGTTTTCAAAAATTTTACACGTTTACACTCTTTCAACATTATATTTTTTTCAAACTTTTATAAATGCGTTTCATTATAAATAATTGTACAAAAAAAAATGTTCTCTTTGTTTTTTATTTTGCTTTCTTTTTTTCGCACACTGAATTAAATTACCTTTTTCTTTTTAGTTTCTACAGTTATTGGTTTTAAAAAATATTAAAAATTTTTTTTCAACAATTTTTTTCAATATATTTTTTATTTCAAAAATTCATTCATTCAAAAACAAATTAAAATATTAAAATTTAAGAATTATTTATGAAAAAACATAATTTGTAAAAGTTAAAATGAAAAAAATAAATCTGGTTAGAATTGCAGGAACTCCATTAAAACTCTAAAACTGTGTTTTCATGTTTTTTTTCCAGTTTTTCATCAAGACACAAGTCTCTTGCCTCAGAAACTCGATATTACTTTCATTAAACATGTTATTTTACAAAAAAAGAAAGAAAAAACATCTTATTTTTTAAATTAGTCAAAAGAACATTGAAATGAAAAAGAAAATTCTTTTATTTTGTAGAAATTTAAAATTTGTATTTTTATTTATTATAATTTCCATAAAATGTAAATTTTCACGCAATTTTCATTTGTAAATTCTTGTCAATTGAGTCAATTTTATATTTTTAGAAATTTCCTCATATATTTTTGGTCAATTTTCCTTCTAAAATTTTTATCACGATATTATAGATTAAATAAACATTTATTCATTTGTTTTTAAATCTCATACTATAGGATAAGAAAAAAAAATCCCAGTCGACGGGAATAACTTTTCTTCTTTCAATATGAGAGTCATATTTTTAAAAATAAAAATAGAGGGCAATTATGGGTCTTTGCTACATTAAATGAATATCTAGAGGAAAAAAAAAATAATAATGAGAACTTATAAAAAGCAATTTTTCTTTAAATATTTCAATTTTCATTATTTGGGCCAAGCTGGTAATTTCTTTTCTTGAGTCTCGTCGTCTTTAAAAACATGAACGGGAAAAAAATATCGTAATTTCTGAAGCATAAACTTAATATCACCACCCACCTGTATAAGGATTGTAGAATCGTTTTTTTCATTTTTTAAAAAAAAAAAAAGTCTACTGTACCTACGTTTTATTAATTCACAATGAAATACTTTTTGTAAATTTTTTTAATTTATTATTTATTAATTTACTTTTATTATTCACAGCTCCGCCTTTTTGGAATCGTTTTTCGCAATATTTGATATCGTTTTTTTTTTCGTCTACATATTCAGTGGTAACAATTCATTATACAATTTTTTTTCTGAAATATATAATTTTTTACACCGAACTAAAGGAGAATGCATCTATTCTGTAAAATTCAAGCTTCAACTTTTTTTTTTTTTATTACTGTCATAAATTCTTAGTCATAAAAAGAAACTTGTTAAAGAAATGAAATTATACTTTTTAACATGAAGTTAAGATTTCGCACGATAGAATTTTTTACATTAAACATTTGACTGTGAGCTACTTAAGAAAAATTTGGAAAATTCTGAATTACTAAAAAGTACAAATTATTTTTTTTTTAATGAAAATTAATAATTAACCTTTTGAATAATAGGAATAATAAAAACTTGTTTGTTTGTTTAATTGCAAATTTCTAATAATAAGTAATAAATGACAAGATGATAATGATGATGATGATGATAATAATAATATTGAAAACAGAAGATAATATAATTCCCTAATATTTTATGAAAGTCCATTGTTTGTGCGGACATCGAAATCTCTCATCATGAATGGAATAAAATAATTTTTGCTTGTTGGGGATTAAATAAAGAAATGATAATATTAATGGAAATATTATTCAAAGGAATGATAAATAATTAATAAAAATTAGAAGAACACTGATAACAATGAAAAATCCTAATGACTGTATTATATTTGAATTATTCTATTTTGATTGACTAATATATTTTTCACGTAGAGAATATATTATTTTATTATTATATTCTCAATATAATAAAAAATATTTTAACTCAATCAATAAATTAATTTTTATGATAATAAATAATGAAAATTAAAAAACAATTTCGCGGAAGATAATTTTTTTTTTAAAATACAATAATTTCAATTATTTTAGGTATGTGGCTACTTTTTACAGTGTCAATATTGTTAGCACGTGAAGTGGTGGGAAATTTATCAACAGATAAGCATAATGAAGAGAAGAAAGTGGAAAACAAAAATTATTTACACAATTTCTCACAATTACAGACCACGGATTTGAAAATTCCCGCAGAAAAATTACATGAAATTGATAAATCTAACAAAAAACAAGGTGATTTTTTTTAAGTATTTATTTTTTATTTATAAAAAAAATTTATGGAATAATAATCTTAAATTTCCAATTCATTATATTAAAATAAAAAATGCAATTTGAAAATAAAAACAAAAATTCATATTAGATACAGAAAAAAGAAGAAAAAGATCCATAGACGAAATTGGTTCAAGTCATGAAACATTTGCAATAGATTTTGAAAAAAGAAAAGGACCAATGTCTTCATGGTTTTATTGGACTGACAAAGATGTGAGTTAATAAAAAAAATTATAATTTTTATTACACAATTGTTGAAAGATAATAGAATTTTTTTTTTTTGAAAATTTTTTGAACAGGCAATACCAATAAAAGAACGAAGCAAGGAGTCAAGTCAAGAAAAGAAAACGCCAAGATTTAGTCCATGGGGAGGAAAAAGAAGCGAGACTTATTTATCGGATCCTGAATTTCGACAAAACACTCACGTCTTTAACAGTTGGGGTGGAAAACGTGTTAATGAATTTTCAAAGCTTTCACCACCATCAGAAAAAAACGCAAAATTATATGCATGGAATAGTATTGGCTCCAATGAGAATCTAGAATTAAAACGAGTTTCAAAAAGTAATACAGAGGGAAAAGTTCCATTCAATAGTTGGGGTGGAAAGAGGGCATTAAATAACATCGATTATACATCACCGATTTTACAAGATCTACACCAATTCGAAGGAGAAATTGCTTATCGAAAAAGAAAAGGTCAATTTTTATTTTTTATATTAAGAAAAGAAAAATTTTAAAAAAAAATTCAATTTCACAAATTTTTCTCATATATTTTTAATACTAGCTTTATAAAAAATAATAATAATAAATTTTTTCTTTGCGCAGGTGATGTGGGAAAATATCAAGAAAAATTGATAAGAAAAATGGATGAAAGAAGAGCCCAAAAATTTGGAAGTTGGGGTGGTAAGAGGTTTGCTAATCAGCAAGATGATGAAAAAATGGATGAAAGAAGAGCTCAAAAATTTGGAAGTTGGGGTGGTAAGAGGTTTGCTAATCAACAAGATGAAAAAATGGATGAAAGAAGAGCTCAAAAATTTGAAAGTTGGGGTGGTAAGAGATTTGCTAATCAGCAAGATGATGAAAAAATAGACGAAAAAAGAGCTCAAAAATTTGGAAGTTGGGGTGGTAAGAGATTTGCTTATCAGCAAGATGATGAAAAAATAGACGAAAAAAGAGCTCAAAAATTTGGAAGTTGGGGTGGTAAGAGATTTGCTAATCAGCAAGATGGTGAAAATTTACATTTGGCCGATGAGGATTTTTTTGAATCACTCAAATCGAGATTACCAAAGAAAAGAGCAAATCGTGCTTTAAGAAAAAGGGAATTTCAACCTTGGGGAGGTAAAAGGAGTCCCGAAACAATACCTGAAAATCCAAATGACACTGAACGCAGACCACCTGCTTCATTTTTCGTTAGAAAAGTCTTCTTCCCATGGGGTGGATAAAGAAAATTTGACTGATTTTTTATTGTTTTTATTTACAATTATTTGAAACTAATATAATTTTTAAATTTCAAGTTTTCATTTTAATTATATTTTTTTCTCTATTCTGAGATTTGATAATTATTTTAATACAAATCTTCCCAATAGGGTAAAAAAAATTATGTTTATTTAAATGTATATTCAATTTTATGGAAATTTTTTATAATTTAGTGTAACTGTAAATACATGTGAGAGTTTATTATTATTAATAAAATCATAAAACAATTACTAATTAAATAAATTTAATTAATTAATTGAAATAAATTTTTTAAAAAATTGAACAAAATTAATTAACGATTAATTAATTAATTTTTATTTAAATAAGACTCGAAAATTAATATTAATATTAATTAGTAAAAAAAAAATTAATATTGTAAATCAATATAATATTGGGAAGATTGTAAATTAAATGACATAAATTTTCTTATCAAATGATTTGTCAAAGTACAAATCAGATTCATTTTAATGTTAAAATTTTATCGAGACTGTAGGAGACAATTTATGATCACTGAATGGTAAAAAATTCATTTAATAGGATATGATAATTTATTTAGCAAAATCATCGAATGAAAATAATTTATTTCATAGGATCATTAAATGTTAATAATTTATTTAATTATATTATATCTCATGTAAGATAAAATTATTATATAAATTTTAGAATTAATTAAGTTTAAAATGTTTGACTATATATGAAAATTTATAATTTTAAACGTTGAGAAAATTATAAAAGTTCTATACATAAATTATTAAAAATAAATAATCTTTTAAATAAAAAATTTTCTGCACTACCGCTTAATTACTGTTTATTTTTTATAAAATTTTTATAAATTTAAATTTAGTATATATTTTTTTTAATAATTTAAATAATTTTAGATTAATTATTTAATTTAATTTTTACTTTAAGTTAAATTAATAACTGAGGAATATAGATGTTTAATACTATAGAGATTTATTAAGTGTAAACAAATTTATAATAATAAATTATTTGTTATAGGTTTTAAATACTCAAAAAATGTAAATTGATGACTCTTTAAAATTTTAATTTAATATCAAAAAATGGTAAATGGAAAATTAAATTTAAATTTATTGTTTCAGTGTTAAGGGAGAAGTGAATAATTGCATTAAAAATTGTATAGAATGTGATAAAAATTGAAAAATACGTTTCCTTCGAATAAAATATTTTTTGTGTAGATTTCTACTTTTATTCATCTTATTATACCCATTTTTTATTCTACTTAATATTTTATTTATTTATTTTCTGACTAGTCAAAAATTGTAATTATATTTCATTTTTTGTATAATAGTTTTTAATAATTTTTTTCTAAATCACATTAATATTATTTGATTCTAAAAACCAATGGTTTGGAATGTATGATTTCAAATTATTAGAAAGCAGCATACGAATATAATATGCAAAATAAAATTGAAATAACGGATTATAACTTAAATCAACAGAGTAATTTTTCATAAATTTATCAATTCTCTTAATATCCGCGGAAATAAATTTAAAGTCATTTCCATCAGCAACATTGTGTAAACCAACATTTGTAAAAACAAAAATATTTGTAGGTGATTCATTATTATAATCTGGTATATTAATTTGCAAACGATGCGGTTCTCGATGATAAATATTAATTTTATCATTTATTTTAAATTTATGCACGACATTAATAAGCGATTGTTTATTTTGCGATGATGCGCCAAAAAATTCATATTTAAAAATTAAAGAACCATTTCGTTCTAAAGATAATGAAAAATATAGATCGTCTTTAAAATAATCATGAATTTGATCGGTTAATTGTTTTATTGCTAATGTCATATCTTTATAGTTAATAAACATTCGTAAAAATACAATGTCACTTATACCTTGTGCATCAAAATTATAATGCACGAAGGGTAAAATTATTTTATTTTCTTCAATTTTGTCTATTTTAACTTGAATTAACATATTTTTGGAAATAGTATGATACGTTAGTTCACTGACATATAAATTATTATCTATTTCCTCTGCAATATATATTGAGTAAACATTGTTTAATAATTTTAATTTTATCAAATTTCCCTCAATTTGATGACATTTATTATTTAAATAAAGACATCTACCCGTAAGATCAATTGGCGATTCAATGGCAAATTTCACCAAAAAATAAATATTTCTCGCTTTTGTCAATAACATTAAAGGGGAAATTTTTCTTAAATCTCGTTCCTTACTCCTAATTTGCAATTGAGTTGGATTTATATTAAAATCTACAGCAGGCATCACAGAATGTCCACTTAAGACTCGTAATTCTAAATCTGGACTCAATAAAGGAATATTATAATTTTTAAAAGGGATTATTTTCTGTAAAAATGGTAATAAATTAATATCGTAAATATCGAGAAATATTTCCAAAATAATTGGAATTATGTTATTAAAATTATTGTTGTAACGAATACGAAATTCTCTTAAAAGCGTGTCAGTACCATCGTATCCAAAAAAACACATAAATAAATTTAATTTTTCCTCGTAACTCCATTTTATAAATGGAAAACCTTTGCGATAATTCGATACCGAATTAAACGAAAATGTTGATAGATTATTTTTTGTTTGGAATTTTTGTTGATACAAAATAGCAAAAATATCATTCCACAAATTAAATATTTCTCCAAAACCATCAACAATTTCTTTTCTATTATAATAGTGAGCAAATTTTTCCAATAAAATCCAACTCGATTCTTTTGTTGGTTTTAGAAAATTTTCTATTTCATCAATAACTGATATCCAATGGGAATTAAAATACGTATTTGAACATGAATCATCATAACATTTTTCTGAGCGTATAAATAAAATTGTTCGATCTAATGAAGAATAAAAATTTTTGCTAGCAGTCAAATAATCGTAATATTCAACCACATCAATATGATTTTGTAAACCTTGATATAAACTATAATCTGATAATTTTATATTAATAATATCATTTGCAGACAGCAACATTTGTGTATAATAATTTTCAATAAAACCGAAAATTTGTATATTTTCATAAAATGTAGACTCAATTTCCAATGATGTTGCAAGTGTTACATCATTAGAGTCAAAAATAGGCAATGGTATCCAATTTTTTGTTTCAATTGTCATCACTATTGGAATATTGTGTGAAACTGATATCATAGGTACACAATTAAAATTTGCTATCAAAGTTCTTGTTGAATTAGTTTCACCAGCAAAATTTATCATGTTAAATGTTCCTGTTGGCGTATCGGTGAGACAATAAAAATATAACATTTCTATTATCGAAGAAGAATCCACTTTTAATGAAAATCTTGTACCTTGTTTAATAATTATATCGAAATGAGTTTTATAATGAAAAAATTGATTTTTAAATTCATGACTTGTCCATGGTTCTGAATATTCACGAATTAATGGCCTAGTAATCCGCGTGGTTACCTAAAAAAATTATACCTTTAGTTTCAAAAAAATTCAAACCCATTATACGATAGAAAATAAATAAATTTTAACAGAAAAAAATTAAAATCGGAGAATTATTTACTTACGTCTGAATTCCACTGTACTGTCTGTTCTGAAATTGTCCTAGAGACATAAACTGATAAAAAAGTTAACAATAAAAATAACATTTTAGAAACTTTCACATAAGTTATAAAAAAAAAAAATTGTCACGTTTTAATAAGTGGATTTTCATTTTTTTTTATTTATAAAGAGTCGGATAAGTTAACACCTGATTAATTTCAGTTATTATTTGATCTTACAAATTAAAAATGCTGATTACTAAAAGGTATATGGATATTTATTTTTTTACCGGTTTTGTATTTATTATTCGCAAGTTAAAAGCAACAGAATTCACGTTATCTGTTTGATTTTCACAAGTAAGAAAAATAATTTTATGCTAATTATAAGACATTAAAAATTAAATATTTATTTCTGTGAATGTATAAATATTTTTAATTCTTCTTTTTTTGTAATTATTTAGGCATCATAATATTAACAATGATCTTATTAAAATTTTTTAACTTTTTTTTACTTATTTGTATTTGTAATTCAGAACTCCTGACAAAATGGAATACAGAGGTAAAAAAAATTTATAAACTTGAAAAAATTAATTCAAATAAATTGTTGACTATTGTTAAATTATTTTTATTTAATAATTAAGAAAAAATTGTTTCAGAAAATTGAAAGAACCGTGAAGCCGTTGATTCGAAAATATACAAAATCATGGAGTACTCATGGATTTGAAGATCGAGAATATCATTATAAAACACATTTTGGAATTGTAATTAAAGGAGGCACATCATTTACTCTTTCGTTTGAGAGTACAGGAATTGTTGAAAATTTATATTTTTTCTGTCCCACGGAGAAAACGAAAGAATTTCCTGTGATAAATTTAGCTAACGAAATTAGTTCAACACAAATTATAACAACAAATTTCGATTGTGTTCCAATGACATCAGTCTCGTATAATACAACTGTTGAGGTAAAAATTCTCACAAATAATTGGATAAATTTACCTGTGTTTTATTCGAAAAATGTGACATTTTTAACATCACATGAGGCTGAGGAGGAATTTTATCAAAATATACAAACTTATGGTTTTGTCGAGAATGATTATACACAAATGTTACTGTCCAAGAACGATATTAATAGTATAAAATCAAAAGGATACAGTTTATACATTGCTTTACAAAATCAAGTGGATATAATAAAATATTATAATTATTTAACAGGTGTCATTCGATATTATACAGATGAAAATTATTCTTCTTCGTTTTCTGTAGTAGAAAAATATCGAATATTTTTACGTACGGAAATGTGTGACAAAAATTGTAATTATGGAGCTTATTTTTCTGCCAATTGGATAGCGTGTCCTTATGGAATTGTCGAATTTTTAGAGCCCACTCGTGGATCACAATGGGCTTTATTACATGAAATTGCACATTATTATGATATTAAAAGTTCAGTTCTTGGTTTTGGTAATACAATTGATGTGTGGACAAATATTTTTTCGGCATTTTATCAACATAAATTTCACGTTAACATTTATTGGATGAAAGAAAGTGAATCTGATAAATATGAAACTTTATTGAAATATCAAAAAGGTATTCCATTCACAAAATGGGATTATAAAGAACAATTACATTTTTTTATGAGTATTTTTGGTTATGATGGTACTGAGAGATCTTTTCGTGAATTTAATATTCGTTATTTTTCTTCTGAATCTATTGATTTGACTGAGAATATAATTCCTATAATTTTAGAAGTATTTCTTGATCTTTATGATATTAATTTATTACCATATTTAAAGAAGGTAATCGATTTTAATGATTACACGATTCCATTATTAAATCCAGATTTAGAATTACGACTATTGTATGGACATGCTGTGATGCCGGTTATAGATTTTGATATAAATCCAACTGATTTACAAACAAAAAGTAAAGAACGTGATTTGAGGGAATATTCACCGTTAATGTTAATGACAAAAATTAAAAAAAAATACATTCAAGTTAAATTTATTTTCGAAACTCCTATTGATTTGACGGATCATTGTTTATATTTAAATAACGATTGTTACATGATTTTTGGCAATGAAATGAATTTACAATTATTAATGGATGTCTATTCGATTTATGTTGCTGAAAATATAGATAATGAAATGTTTGTCAGTGATATTGAATATCACGTGATTTCAAAGGAAATGAAAATTAATGTTAGAGTAAAAAAAATTAGTGAAAATGAAATATTTCTACCTATGTTACATCATTCTTTTGATGCTCAAGGTATCAGTGATATGGTATTTTTAAAAATATTTATAAATTACAAAGACATGACAATAGCATTAGTACAATTGACTGATCAAATTCATATGTATTTTAAAAATGAAATTTATTTTTCAATATCGTTGAAACGAAATGATTTTACAATTTTTGAATATAATTTTTTTGGTTTACCACAAAAACAACAGAAATTTATAAATGTTGTTCATAAATTTGAAGCCAATGATCAAATAAATATTTATCATCGAGAACCAAATCGTTTGCAAATAAATTTGTCTGGATATAATAATGAGGCAGTTAATAATACTTTTGTTTTTACAAATATTGGTTTACGCAATGTTGTTGATAAAATGGATTTTAAATTTATTTTTTCCGATATTCAAAAAATTGATAAATTTAATAATAATTACAATATAGACTTGAGTTATAATTCAATGTATCAAGCATTTTTAGCTCATTATACAAATTTATTAATTGCTAATGGTTTTAACGATTATGTACCAAAAAATTGGGTTAATAAACTTAATATATAAAATTTGTGTCTATAAGAAAATTGATGAAAAATTAAAATTGAGATATTTAAAACTACAAAGAATAATAAAATAAAAATGTAAACATACAAAACGTTATGTTTATTTATTTACTTTTTGAGTGTGTTAAACACCTGAGTTGACTTTATACCAATTGCTTATGTAAAAAATATTGTATAATCAAACAAAAATAATAAGTTTATTATTTAAATCGAACTAATAATAATTTAATAATTTATCAAAAGTTGACTAACCTATGAAACTTGTAGATTTGTATATATATGTATCTTTTGCATTCGTCAATTCTTTACAATGAAACTATCTTGAATATTCCTTTATTATTTTAGACAGAATTCGATAATATCCACATATTGTCGTTTAATTATGATTTAATTTATATTTTCCAATAATTCTTGAAAAATTTCAATTTTGTATCAAAAACATCCAAAATATAGGTTATAGACACGAGTGAAAATAAATATAAAGTCCCCTACACATGAACTTTAGCGTTGCATTACTTTTCAATTGACCAATCACAGACGATCTTGTTTTGTCCAAGCGTCTCGATCTATCGAAAACTTCGAGATCGATACTTCGACGACTTCATTTGTTTTGAAAAGTTTTTAAAGAAACGTTACGTCTCTTCGATTTGGTGCAATTTTCTTCAAAAAATGTGGTAAGAATAACATTTTTCTTTATAATTTTTTAGTTTGAGCTGTTCCTTAAATTGAGAGGAACGAAATTTTGTGCAGGCGATAGCAATTTGTATCAAAATGCGTTAACCTTAATTTGTTGAACAGCATTTTGCAACAATGCAATTTTTTTTCAAAATGGCGTCTAGTGGCCGATAGTTATGAAAATTTTAAAAGTAGAAAAGTTTTTTTTGTTTGTTTAGTAGCTTCTCATTCCATATTGTGGTGATTGTTGACAGAACAATTGTTCTGCAATTTGCAATTTGCAAAGCTGCAAACTTCGAATCTTTTAATTCTCGGTCTCTTTGTACGGTAGGTCCACAAATTTCCACTCTCATTGTAGATGGAAATTTAGATCAACCTAGAGGAGGGATCTCCGGTAATTAATAGATTTGAAGGCAATCATCTTCACCTGGAAGGAATTTTCGCTACTTTGCGGTAAATTAGAAATTTTGATAATTGTTTTAATGTGACATTTTTTTTATAGGTGCAGCATTGTAATCTCTAATTTTGATTTTTTTTCTATATTATTATTTTATTCGTAATTAGCAAAAATAATTTATCGATGAAATTATAGGTTAGGTTAGACCTGTATAATCAAGAATTGCTAATATTATTTATCTATTGTTCTATTCTATTTTTTGTGTATAATATTTATTGTATTTTTTAAGGTTAAATATGTATTTGTCTCATTAATAGATTATACATTCAATAAATTGGGTAAGTAACTTTTGTTTGTTAATTTGGAACTTGAATCGGAAGCTTGATATATCAATTAGATATTTTCAATTGCACCGTTATAAATTATTATTATTATTATTATAAAAATTTATTGTTTGTTTTGATTACTAAATATATTTTCCTTCATTAATTTATTGAAGGTGAAAATTCAAGGTCAATGAATTATTATTTTTAGAAAAGGTTATACATTGTAAATTAAATTTATTTTTATTACAGTATAATAAATTAAATTTTAAATATTTTTGACAATTCTTAGATTTGAAGTATATTATTTTCGTTAAAGGAATAATTAAAAATTATTTAAATAGAAATTTTTCTAAATATAAAATTAATTCTTAAAAATTTTATATTAAATTACAAGTAAATGAGTTTTCATGTTTATTTATAATTATCAATTTTTTTCAGTGAAATTTTCTTCAAATTGTGGAGACGTTCTATTTGTGTTAAGTGTACAAAATTCAGAAGAACTCGGAGGAACGGAAGGATCAAAAACGTTAAAGAGGAAATGCGGCTGACTAAATGATGTCTTCACTACTTCGCGATCAATAGGAAGGGTCTTTGAGCAATGTTACTACATATAGCTCTTCAACATTTTCAACGTGAGAATTGCTGAACAGTGAGTTTTTATAATTTAAATAATAATATATTAATAATCGATTGGTTGATCGCAAAAAAATGCTGAATTTTTAAATTTTTGTATAACTTATATTATTTGAAACTTGTTTCTAACTTGTTTGTAAGCGCAGATAATGCTGCTAACTACATTTCATTTTAGAAACTAATATCCAAATAGCGGGTAAAACTTTTTAATTTGAACATATCGGAGGATTGTTATAAAAAAAAATTTGTAATTTTGCAAATTTATTATTTTTTAATAATTCTCTTATAAAATAAAAATATATCTTGAAATTCTCTTCACGATAATTATATTTTTAGGGATTAAGAATAAATTAATAAAGATTCTTAAGAATCTTGAAAAAATAACATTATTTAAAAAATATCTTTAAATAATTCTTGAATACTTTTTCATTCTAAATAATTCTTATGGCTTTTACCAATTTTTTATTTTAAAAATAAGGAATTTGCTTCTTTTTTATATATTTTTTTTAAATAGAAAAATTAATTTGGCAAAGTGAAAATTGAAAATCATAGACGTTGGGTACGAAAAGTAATGAACTGAGTTTTATTGATATGTGCTTGAACTTTTACGGAGATATATATTATTTATATATAATACATTGATAAATGTAAGTGTAAGAGTAGTAGTAGAATAATAATTAGTCACATTTTTATTTTTTTATTACATATTTGTATATTTTCGTCGTATCTCTGCATAAATCAAATAATTTATATACATTCAACAAAAATTTCTGTCACAGCATTAATTCATTTCCGTTAATATAGGAAGTAGGTACGTTTGTTTTGAAGAATATTATCATTCTTATGCCACTTGTTGGTATAATGGAAAAGTAATTTCAACAAAATTTTTAACAATATTATTAAAAATGTTGTCTAAATTTTTTTCCATCTTGTCTTTTTAAATGACCTATATATCTATCTCTATTTTCTGCATACATTTGTTTTTTTTTTAATTTAACATTGCACAATATATGACATGACATTTTAACATATTCTTATAAATTAAATTTATATCATATATATAATCACATATCAAGTACGTCGTTGATTTTAGCACCGATTCCAATTATTATAAACGAGAGCTGTTTCACAACTTTGAAATGTATTATTCAGTATATGAAATTAATTTCAAATTTTTGAGGAAGTAAATTAATTTTTTTTTAAAACAAATTAAGTTTTCTATAAAAAAATTGAATTATTTCTTATATATATATATCAGGCTACAGTTTTAGGACATTTATTTTTAGAAAGATTTTTATTTTTGGGAAACAATAGAATATACAGGAAAATGTGCTATTTAGAGCAGTTTAATGAAAAAAAATTTTCTTGATGATTTTTATGCAAAATCGAAGAATTAAAGTAACCGATACATTATATTTTTATAAATTTATATACCAATATTTGAAAATTTTTTTTATAAACTTTTTATTACCATACTTTAGTCGAGAAAAGTAATAATATTTCCACTTATATGAAAAATAATTTTTTTTATGATTCATTATAATGATTATAATTTCATTAATTATGAACTACTTAAATTAAATTAATTTTCTTATTGTACACATTATTTGAATTTAAAATAATTACTTTTTCTTAATAATGAGAATCAGTTTATTTATTATTGTTTTTATAATGTTTAATTTTTATTCGTAATTAAAATCTTAACATTTCTTCATTGAATAAACATAATTATTAAAAAAATGTAAATACATTTTTATAAACAATGTTTGATGTATTATGAATTTTTTTAAGAATATTTTCAATTCCTGTCAGTAAGTTTTTACAATAGTAGGCAAGCTAAAAAAAGTGTTATTTCTTTTTATGTTTCTATTTTTTTTACTAGCAGGAATTAAAAATAGATTTAAATTGTAAAATTTAGCAAAACTTTTTAACGGTATCGTGAAATTTTATTCATTTTATAAATCTTTATCATTTTCAACATTTTTTTTTATTCTTATTTTTTGAAAATAAAATATATTTTTCTATTTCCTTTATACTTTACTTTCGATGTTAATAAATACTTGTAAATTTTTTTTATAGTAGGATTTATTTAGATATATATGTATATAGATATATATGTATGAAGTTGAGGATTAATTCTATTCTATATACGATAGGATTAAGGATTATAAATAAATTTGTTCCTCTTCCAGCCTAGATTGTTTTTCTGGTCGAGTCTCGTGTGAAATTTCATCAAAAACGTTTCTTTTTTTTTTAAATGACATTAATTATCTTTACAAAAAATTTTACTAATAAATTATACATTAAAATTTTAAATATTTTCATTTCGGATATATGTAATGAATTTAAATATATGTTTTATGTTTAATAAAAGTATAATTAATTTTGAAATAAATTAATTTAGGGAATAGAAAATGCTAATAATATTAGATGATCTTTCATACCAACTTTCATAAAGCTATGTTAAAAAAATATACATAAAGGGGAAATCATGATGATTGACGATTTGTCTCGAATTTAAAAATAATTATTGATTGATAAATATTTGCACACTTCATTAATAGAAAAAAGACGTATATATACCATTTATCTCTCAATTCAAGGAAATATTCCGTGTATTTTTTTATTTGCCTCCTAAAAAGTAAAACTGTTATTTTCAAAAAGTTGTAACGCGTTAGTTATATTTTTTAAAAATAAAATTTAATAATTAAAATTATTTATAAAAATCCAATTTAAATTTAAAATATTAATTTTGAGTACAAATTTTAGTTTAAATAAAATTTTCTGTAACGCGTTACTTTCAAATACATTAGTTACAAAATAACATGGCTGGATAAAAAAAAAATGTGCCCTCCGTGTTTTTTGTTTTGTTTAAATATTATTCGCATAATTGTATTTGTACAATTTTGCATATTGTATATTTTTTATTCTGATGACTAAAGTATGGTATATAAGACATTTTTATTCGTTCGATTTGATAAGGAGGTACACAGATATATTTTTTGAATAAATACGTCTATATCAGTATAGTATAACATTCAGAGAAAAATATATGACCTATTTATATCGCGATATATTAAATATTCACTTCTTTTTTTATGTTTACAATTTAATTGGGATTAAGGACGTTTAATTATTACTTCGCCATTAATAACTGTCATGATTCCTTGTACAAAAATGAGAATAAGAAGGAGCCACTCAATGGCACACGAAACAGAGTCTAGATTATAATTTGTATATTAAAAAATAGATTCACAATATTAATACTGATTTATATAATATATATTATATAGGCTTCTAACAGTGACTCCTTCAATTAATCTTCAAGCGTGTTTATTTTTTTTTCACATTCTCGTTTAAACAGTTGCTTATAAATAAATTATAATCGTCATACACACAGTGATTCACATATTATTCTTAAAATTTTTATATTTTAAATAATATTTTTATTTTTATCATTAAAATTTGGATGCAATAATCAATATTCTATGCTTGAACTTGTAGACTGAATTGTTACGCCCACATGGGATCTTTCACTTATTTCATTGGTTAATAAAATAAGTGGGGGACTGTGTGGGCGTTTCTACTCGAGTGATAAGTTCAAGAATGAATATCGTTAATTCAATGATAATAATTAGATTAATTTTCTTAAAATTAAATTTATAGAATGCAAAAGAAATTAATTTCTATTTTTAATTTACTTAATTAATTTAATTAATTTTGATTGAAAAACATTTAGAGATATAAGCGACTGTTTTTTTCTTCATTTTTTGCTCGCAAGGGTCGTTTATACATTTTCTGCCAATCGAATAATTTCTCGTTTCTATAGAAAACAGTATTTTTTTTCTCATTTTTTTATGTATATATATATATAGTTTATATAAGCACGAGCGTCCGAGAAAATAAGCTAGATTTTTCTGATTAACAAAAAATTGATTAGAAACGCAATAGTTGACGTTTATCTCACTTTTTTATTTGTTATTAAACGTTGACAGCCTGCTCTTACGTTCCTTCGCTAAAATTAATTTAAATTTTATTCACTGCTGCACAAGACTACTGCATTTCTGAAAAAAAATAATAGAAAATGTTATTTTTTGAGTGTTTTCAATCTCAATTATTATTGAATCACATGACCGTTTTTTTTAAATTCGTTAATCAAATATTGAATTATATAAAGTGGGTCGTAGTTTATTTGAATAATAAACTAATAAACATGATTCAAGATTTAATTAAAAATAACATTTTCTTTTTCATGAAAAAAGAAATTATACTAATTAGAATTTAGAAATTAAATTATATTCCTTAAATAGGGAAATCATGCATTATTAATTAAAACGTGTTTTGTAATGTATTTTGAGAACTATATCGATTAAGTTTGTGTTCATTCATGTTATTATGACGTCAGTCAGTTATAAAAATCACACCCTTCAGTCATTTTTTTTTCTCTAAACAAAATAATTATTATTAATAATTTAAAAAATTTTAATTCTTATTAACAATTATTAAAAAAAATAACAGTAAATTATTAATTATAAAATGTAAAACGAATCAATATAAAATATAAATAAATAGAGATTTAAAATAATAAATACAGGATACATGCGAACAATATTCAATTAATGTTATTAATTATTATTATTGTTGTTTATCAAGTTTAATTTTCGTTACAGAACTAATCGGTAAAATATTATTTAATTCCTATTTATAAATTAATAACATTAATAGAATTTTTATTATTATTAACATTAGTTATAAATTAATGGTTAATTATATTAATTACTTGAAAATATTAACGAAGCAACATTAAATACATGAAAGTGATCAATTTTCTTGAAACAGTTAATTATGAAGAAAGAGAGGATAGTGCACAATGAAGGAGAGAAATTCGACAATACTTGTATGTAGTAGTTTTTCTCAAAGAGGAAATACACGATTGACAAAACTATCAGTAAAATAAATAATTTTGCTAATAATTTTGCAATTTATGGAATTAACAATTCACTATAAGAATAGGTGGGACAGCACAATATATTTTTTTTTATAGAGAATATTTTTTTTATAAGAGAGGATGAGACGATCAAAAATAGAATGATTGATAAAAAGTTATATCAGAGAAAGAACCTAAGCTACAAAGTATGTATTTATACGTATACATGATGGAAAAGTGGAAACTTTTTTTTTGGTTTCTTTCTTAATTTGCCTTTTTTTCTTTTTACCTAAAAGTGAAGTATATCCTGGCAGGCGATTCAGCCTCTCGATGTTATCAAACAAGTTTTTTAGTCGACTTTCATCCTCCTGTGAAGAGGGGACCCATTTTTTTCCTCGGACTCCCACAAATTTCCCCCGAAACTCCCAGCGAGGATTTTTCTTACCACGACTTCCGAAATGCCAAAAGGGCGATCTCTTTTCGAAATTCTGGGGTACACTGTCCTCTCTATCTCTCATTGGCCCTGTTCCGTTTATCAAAAAGACAACAAAAAAAAAAACACGAATTCCCTCATTTTACGGACGTTTTTTATATCAACAACAATAATAATATAATAACATTAATAATAATATAAGTAAATTATTAAACGGGACAAAAAATAATCTTATTTATTAATAATAATAATTACAATAATATAAAAAAAAATTCAAGAATTTAACAAACACAAAAATTAAAAAAAAACGAATAATAAAAAATTTAATAACTAATTTACGTATTTTTTTTGTTATTGTTATTATTATTATCAATTAATTATTATTAACAGTGAACAGAATTTACTAATTTAAACATTTTTTAATTAAAAAATTAATTACTAAAACAAGGAGAAATTAATGAACTAAAAATTATATTAATACAAAGAATTGAAACATTATCGTTATATTTTTTGTATAAAGAAATATTAAAAAAGAAACTTGAATGTTTGTGGATCAAATTTAAATGACCACTTTAACGAGTCATTTTAATGCATAACATTTTATTGACCTCTTGTGGCATAAAATATAAAAGCGGATAGTGCAAAGTGGAATCGTTCCGCGCATTTGAAATCGTTATTTCAAGCATGAATTTTCCACATAAATTGTAATTCACAATTATTGCCTATGTCATTATATATATAGATATACGTATATATTATATCTATATAGATTTTGTACAGACAAATCCGAATGCCACTTGAATCACTTGTTGCTTTGAATAATTTAACAGTGCATTAATATATATATATATACAAACGATATCGAATTTGATTTAAATTAACTTTAGCTTATCAATATTTAAAAAAAAATTCTTTACCTTGAAAACTTAATAGTTTTCGTTTCTCTCCCTCATTCTTAGTCACAGAAGATTGTTCTATGTTTCTTTTTCCCCTTACTCCCTGGAAAAATGCATTTTTTTAAATTCAAATTCAAATTTAAAAAAAAATATATATAAAAATTTTTATATTTGCCATAAAAATGTTTTCTCATTAAATATTAATTTATTAGAAGGAAATTAAATAAAATGTTTTAATTAAATATATATTGGAATCATTATAAGTTAATATTTAATTAATTACCTGAAATCCCATAATGGCTCGTTTTTGTAGTTCTTGAATATCATCCAATGCATTTTTTTTGCCTCTCATTCCTTGAAAGCCCATTGGTGCTCTTTTCTCCCATTCGTCATTAAATTCCTCTCTTTTGCCCCTCATACCCTGAAATCCCATTGCTAATGCCCTTTTTTCAAATTCATCAGGATAATCATAAGCGTATGACTTTTTTCCCCTTGTTCCATGAAATCCTGCTTTTGATCTTTTTTCCATATCTTCCAAAATCTATAAATAGAAAAAAATATTCCCACTATAAAAATCGTACAATTCTTTATTTTCGAAAATTTCGCAAAAATTCCTCAAAATTTATTTCAATTTTTTTTTTTTCAAAGAATATTTTTTGTTTGAATAAATTCTTTATGAAAATCTTTATTATTTATATATAATTTTTGGCAACTTGTTGAGTCTTACTTCTTCTAAGGACTTTTTGCCCCTGACTCCTTGAAAACCCATAGGTCCACGCTTATCGAATTCATCGTCATTTATATTCTTTTTACCCCTCATCCCTTGAAAACCCATCATTGCCGCTCTCTTCTCAAAATCCTCATTATAATAAGGATCTTCGAAAATTGGTACCAAATATTCTTTCTTTCCTCTCATACCCTGAAAACCCATTGGCGCACGCTTGTCCGAATTTTCAAAAGGATAACTCTCTTCTATGTCAGGTCCAATGATAATTTTCTTTCCACGCATTCCCTGGAATAATTTTTTTTCTTTAGAAATTAATTATTATTCTTATTATTTAAATTCCAATTCCTGAAAAATTGTAAAAAAAATTTAATTTTCTCAAATATTATAATTCAATTTCCTTTTGATATTTAATAAACATAAAATTTCAATTTTTGTGATTTAAAATTGAATTAGAAAATATTTTTCAAAATTATTTTGAAAATTTTTTCATTTTTATTATTTTAAAAAGAAGAATAGAAAATTTAAAAGTTAAATTCAAAATGTAAAATTTGCATCTCAATTTGAAGTCAAAGTGGATAAAAAGGATTGAAGGAATTGGAAAAATTACTCCTGGGAAGGACATGGATTATTGGCGTAGACATTTTCTGTGTGATAAGAAAGCAAAGAAAAAAAAAAAAATGTTAAAGTCGATAATCGTGCTTTAAAAGCTTGATCACGATTTACCTGAAATCCCATGGGGGCTCTTTTAGAGTACTCGTCGTTTTCTGAAGATGTAAGATCCTTTTTCCCTCGCATCCCCTGAAAACCCATTGGCGCACGTTTCTCTTGTGACACATCATTTGATGAAGATTCCTCAGCGAATGAACAAGTCACTATGAATATAATAAAAACAATTGGGCCAGCAAACATTCTGCAATCATATAAAAATTTCATTTTATTATTTTTATATTTGCGCGTAATGAAAATTATAAATTGTAATTAATACAAAAAAAAAATAATAGTATTATGTGCATCTTGGGATTTTTTCAATATGGAAGTAAAAAAAAAGATAAAATAAAAATTAGATAGTGTAGTTTATACTAGTTCAGGGAGTAGAATACAAAATGTCGATTTAGCATATATGTAAAATTTTGTGGTAAGCCGATGTACTCGTGTCTAGAAACAAAGTTAAAATTGACAAAAACTTGTTAAATTATCTTTTTTGAAAAACATTTTCAACGACGAAATTAAATTAATTTCAAAACAGTATCCAATTTGTTATAAAATTAACTTATATTCTTCGTTGGAAATAAAATTCATAAAAATGAATTTATTTTTCATATTTACATCATTTTAAAATTTTTTTTTTAAATCAACCAAACTATTGAAAAATATTTTTTTGATTTAAAAAAATGTTTCTTTAGCAATTTTTTTTTATTTAAAATTTTTAAAAAATTATAATATGAATAGATAAAGGGAAACAAATTTAAATAATTTTATGTAAGACATTTACCTCAAAGGCGATTCGCATATTATAACTTGGTTAGAAAAGTTTTAATAGAAATTTATAAAAAGTACCAAAAAGTTCTTTTCTCATTTTTAAATTGAAAATTTCATTTATTGTGAACTCTTTTAAAATCCATGTTTTATATGAGATATATAGAGCTTTTGTGAAACGTTTACTAAAAAGCCGGATAAAACTCGTGTCGGAAAGCTGAGTATATAAAATGTATTCATAAATTATTTACGAGGTACAGCTCACTTGAATGGAAAATCGAATTTATATCAAAACTTAACATTATATAGATCGATGATCAAATGACTGATTTTCAAAATTATTATTTTCTAATTGAATTTTATTAAATGTTTTCAATATACAAATTTAGTGAAATTTTCCCTTCGTTAAAATTTCAATTACCCTTATAATTATTCACTCATTACAAAATTCATTAAATTAAGAATAGTTTTTGATTTAATTAGTTACTTGATTAAATTTATTAATTTTAATTTATTACCATTTAATATTCGTTGTGATTCTTTTTTTTATTTTTTTAAATTATTAGTATCATCCAAATTCCTTTTACAAAAAAATTTTTAAATTAGCAGTGATTTTTTTAAAAATATAAACAGTTGCAGAAGAAAATTTTATTCTCGATATAAAATGATTTTTTTTTTTTTTTGAGTAAACATTTTATAAAATGCGATTTAAAATATATTCCGTATGTGTTTACTGTTTAAAGTTGAATTTTCGTAATTAAATGTTCTGTGACTGACAGATACGTATGCAAAATTGAAATAGAATTTCTACTTTATACGTTTTAAAATTGAAATCGTTATTTTAATCTTATTCGCTAAACAATCATTTTTCGAGCGTATTCAAATTTATTTTGGTAACTGGACACGAATACGTGGTGCAAATATTTTCAATCAAATATATTAATATTAAAATTAATTTTCTTCCAAATTGGAAAATATTTATAAATATTTTTATTAATGAAAAATAGAAAATAAAACTAAAATAATTTTTATGATACAATTATTGGGAAATAATTTTAAAGAAATAATAATAATAATATAATAATAACAATAAAAATAATAATATTAATAATAAAATAAGAATTAAAAATAATAAATTATTATTCGTATTAAAAAAAAAAAATAATAATAAAATAAGAATAAAAATAAAAATAATATAAATAAAAAATAATACAAATTATAACAGTAAATTATATAATAAAAATTAATGATAGACATGAAAATAAAAATTGAAGTCTAAAATGTAGAAATCTAATTAAATTGAGATATATAATTTAATTGGTGCGAGAATCAAATAAAAATAATAAGGAAAAAGAATTCAACTTGTGTGTGTGTTTAAAATAAAGTATAGGTGAAGAGATACTTTTCATGATTCACTTCTGTTTTTCGTTTTAAAGAGACTGATTCATTCGCACATGAAATAAATGTGAAACTGTTACCGCAAGAGTTCACATACGCTTGTTTCCTGTTGTTTAGATCCCCCCCCCCCTTAACGAAAGCAAAATGCTCAATTTCTCTCCCCCTGTTGACACGCAATCGGAAGTTTCCTTCCTTACAAAGAAAAGGATCTTTGAAGAGAATTATTTCCCTCTTTTTGATCCTTTTATCTCACAAAATAATTGAGAGAAAAAAATTTGTACACTTCTTTTGTAAATCGCTTATTCTTTTCGATGATATCAATCTCTTTTGTCAATTTGAAAAGTTAATTTTTTTATTTATATCGTAGAAATCCTGATTTAGTTTTCCAAAAGTTAACAAGTTTTCATATAGCAAAATAATTTTGTTCTAATATAATCAATTTATTTATTATTATATTTATTAATTAAAATATTGAATTAAATTATAATAATTTTCATTGCATTTATTAAGAATCTTAAAAATAATTTATAAAGTTGTTCATAAATATGTAAAATAATACTTTCAATGCACATTAATTTTGTAAATCCATTGTCGAAACTAGACTTATATATTTTCCTATACGTAAGCAATAAATATTCATATGTTTGTTCGTTTTTTTATATAAAAAAAAATGTGTATACAATATAATAGTATACAAAGTTCACAGACAGGGTTGACGTATTTTTAGAGGTAAATTGACTATTTTGTTCCATTATCATTAATATGCAAATTTTTTTTTATATATTCATATATTTATAAAAACTATAATGAATTAAAAGTGAATACAAAGAAAAAGACATTTAAACAGGGGAATGACTTCTTTATAATTATTCGACGATTCTTAATCACTTGCAATGAAACACAAATGTTCTTTATCGGACTATTTATGCGTTTAAAGGGCAAATATATCTTCTCAAGATTTAATTATAAGATTACTTCAATTTTAATTTTTCCAAAAATTAATCTGTTTGTAAATTTTTTAAAGAATTTCGTAAAAAATTAATTTTCATTTGAATTAATTTTATCAAATGAATTTCTAAATTTAATTAATTTAATGACATTCGCCTTAAGATGATTTTTGTCTATTATATATATAAATAGAAAAGTATATCCAATTACCTTGAAATGAAAACATAGATACAGTTTATATCTGAAAACTTAAATGAATAAGTCATGAATGAGCCAAGTCTACTTAGTATATTAATTAACTAGAAAGCAGAAATTCAAAATCATTTATGTCCCTAGTCACGGACTTCATCCCTATGGAAGATCATTTCATCTAGGAATCTCTCAAGAGACTCAAAGGAAGTCCAGCGTTAATTTTCTACGGTTTCCTAATTTTCTATTTACATATATATGTATACATATATGTATGCCGCGTATACTCTAGAGAAATAAATTTCTATAATACATAAATAAATACCATACTTTTGCATTCATGCCAAAGTGTATACCACTTATAATAATTTAAAATTCAATTTTCAATTTTATATATCATATAAAGTGGAGTTTAATTAATTTCTAAGGAGATTTTTCAATTTAGCTCATATTGTGAACAAAATTATTTTTTTCGATGCAAAATTTTGGTCTTAAAATAATTAAATAATTTCATGTTAGGGCTAATATTAAAATAAGACTTTTGTAGTATTTTATCCGTAAAAATACAAAAAAAAAATAAAATTTATTTCCATTTTTTTGAAATACTAATATTGCAAGTGAATTTAAATAGAAAAGTTGTGCAGTTTTTGAGTTTGAAATGAGAAAATAATACAAAAAACACTTTCTGTAAAGGACAAGTTTAAAGAATTAAAATGATTGTAAAAGAGGAAACTTGCACTTGACTTTAAACATTTTTAACTTCCGAAAAGGCTATTACATAAACATTTTATGCTTCCTGTTGCTTTCTCTCTCTCTATCTTACTTTGAGAAATTTATCACCAAGTTTTTAAATATTTAGTTTATCCTTCTTGAATTACTTAATTTTACAGTTTTATTAATCTTAACAGCGAATTTTTATTTTAAATTTATTATTTATTATTATTTATTATATTATTTATATTATTATTATTTACAATAAACGAAAATATTTTAAGATAGCCTTACTGTATACGGAAAAAAATTCAAATAATCGATTACATGATATTCAAATAATTTACTTGAACCAAATAATTTTCCTGTCAATTAAATGGTATTTGTTTTCAATAAATTGGTTCAAATACTGTTTATTTAATTTCAATTATTTGGTTCAAGTAAATATTTATTTGATAATAGTCAACCAATTATTTGAATCAAATAAATTATTTTTTTCAGTGTAGGTAATAATAATAATTAATATACAAAAACGATGTCAACTTTAAAAGAAACGATATAAGATAGAATGTAATACACAAAGTATAGGATTAAATGACTTGAAAATCGAATTACAATTTTCTGAGATCAATAAACTATATATAAATATTCTAGGCATCCCTGTAGCTACATATATATAATGGAGGTTGGAACATTATTCTAACCGTGCTATCCGGTCAGTCGTGTAATCGTTACTAGCGTCAGTCTTCTCCTGAATTTCACTTAAAGTTGACATTCCCAGGCTCGAAAATATTCTTCACGAAGAAAATAATATTCAATTCTCTGATGCCCTTAGCCGCACGCGGCAAAATGAATCTCCATTAGTAGTTTAATTACAAGCTAATTCCCATTGCAAGATTAATTTTCATTTTCATATTTCCTCCTGGCGAATTATTATTATTATTATTATATTTATAGGGCTTTTTTTAATCTTTTTCGTTGCTTGTCGGAAGGAAGCTTTTTTGGATTTCCCATGGGTGACAATTCACTTTATAGGATGATGATTTTTTTCTCTTTCCTACATTTAGTGTATACACTGAAAAAAAAATTTATTTGATTCAAATACTCTATTACTTGACTATTATCAAATAAATATTTATTTGTATCAAATAATTATTATTTGAGTCAATTAAATGGTATTTGTTTCAAATACATAAATTATTGGTTCAAATACAATTTATTTAATTCAAATAAAAATTATTTGGTTCAAATAAATATTTATTTGATAATACTCAAGTAATCGAGTATTTGAATCAAATAAATTTTTTTTTTCAGTGCACGGAAAAGAAATTTATAAAAAAAAATTACTAAAAGTATATAGATATCTATTTTCTAGTTATTTTCTAGTTCACAATTGAAAAATTTTGTTCAAAAGTTTATTTATAATTTTTTTAATTTTTAAATTTATAAATAAAAATAACTACTTGATAAGTAATTAACGAATAATTAGAATAGAATTAAAATTTTCTTATTTCAATGTAAAGTAATAATTAAAATAATAAATTTGTAAATAATCTAAAACAGTAAGAGAGATAAAATTAAAAAACTAAAAGAAATAAATAATAATGAAGGGAAAAATTAATTAATGAGAAAAATATGTGAGGGTTTGAAAAAAAAAATTGTGTTTAAGAATCTCAAGAACAAGTGCGATGATAATGAAGTTATATTAATTACGAGGACATTTTTCAACATAAGTAGGCAATCACGTGTCACCAACCTAATGTCAAAGGTGTGAAAGGGTTAAAAAATAATGTCGTTGCATCTTCCGGTTTATATAATCTTCTCAAGGGAAATTTTCAATATATAATACTATAAGGACAATTAAGGTTGATCTTCATCTTATTTAAACTTCCTTTGACGTCTATTGTTTTCTATCTCAAGTGATTTATAAAATCAATATCGCAATGTCACTTATAATTTGTTTTTTAAACTAAAAATTCGAAATGTAACTTTCAACAAATAAGATTTTGTTTACTTCATTAAAAGTTTATTATAACTTTTAAATTATATTAATTATTGTTTGGCTGATTTGTAACTTTTTGAACAAAATGCTCGAAAATTGTTTTTGACAATTTTAACAAACTTGTTTTTACATCTCGAGAAGTTGCTTCTTTTTTTGCATTACGATATGAATATTTGGCAACGAAAAAAAAGAGGAAATTTATTTGAAAATAATGTGACGCTAGGAATAATTTTTTTTCTCTCTAGAATGTGAAATTATTATGCAAAATGTATATAAATATTCAAGAGAATTTGACAGAATGGTTTTTCTATACACCTGTTGTTTTCGATGTAAAAACGATTTTTAATTTATTTAACCTATAAAATAGACAAACACAAGAAAAAAATAGCAACATAAATTAGAAAAAAAAAGCAAAATTCTTAGTAACATGGTGATGCGTTGGCCGGGAATTCAATCTGCAATCGATATTTTAAAATCAACACGTCTCAGGGTTGAAAATGTTGTCAATGAAGGGTGTGTATTTAAAAAAAAAATTATATAATTGAAAAAAGTAATTAATAATTGCTAGTTAAAAATTTATTTAATTTTGAGGTTTTGTTTATCTCTTTTTCTAAATAAATATGTTTTACTTATTAAATTATTTTACACTGTCGAGATGCGAGAATTGTTTATTCTAAGAACAAAATTAAAGTTTATATTAAATTCCTTTTTTCTTTTGCGATAAATTCAATAAAACTTTTCTTTAACAAATTGACAGATAATCAATTTTGAAGAGTAATTTAATTAATTTTTTATTTACTTTAACGATTTTTAATATTAATTTCAATTTTTAAAATTATATTTAGATGTAAAGCGTTCACTGGTTTGAAATTAAGTTATTCACAAGATTCACAAAACTACAAGCGACATGACTTTGAGCATAACAGTAACGATAATTTATCCGTTAATAATTTATTTAACAACAATTTATGTGACAATAGTTTAATAAAAAATTGTGAGCTTCCATACAATCAAGAAAAAAAAACACCAAAGGTGATTATCGCTTCTATAATGAGAAATTATTCATAATCGCTTTAAAAAAAAAGTATACATACTTAAATAATCGATTTTTCAATTACTTTTTTTTAATACTAGACTTGAAATATTTTTTTTAAATAATAAATTAAATTAATTTTAAAAAAATTTTTATTAAATTAAAAATAGTATTTTATTATTTTTGAATAACAGATGAAATTTGAGAAAAATTCTGAGATAAAATATTTTTTTGATATTTTATCTTCATTCAAAAGTCATTATAATATAAAATATTTCTAACAGCTCTAATTAGCGCAAGATCCGGGTAATACAAAATTAAAATTTCTCCTCGTTTTCTTTCTATATGTAAACTTTTAAAGATGGAGAAAAACTCTTTTAGAAAAGAATTGAATAGACCAGAAAGCAATTGCTTGAAAAGTTAGACTTTGTTTATTTTCCATCAAAGAATGGTGGCAGATGCTTTCTTTATTAATCAATCATTTTTAATTAGAGTGAATTAATTAACAAAATAAATTTTTTACTATTATAATGCTATTGTTAATTAATATATGTAAAAATAAATAAAAACTAAAAAAAACTATGAAATAAATAAGTCAAAACATAATTTTTAATAATAAAATAATTAAAATTAAAATAATAATTAAATAAAATAAATTTTCAGTATCTTCATACAACTATTAGTGAATATTGGAAAGATGCTCTTTATAATCATTGGCTAATATTAATTCAAGGTCTTATTTTGGTTATTTTAATTATGATAATTAGTCCATGGATTGGTCACGATGGTAATGATGATAATTATTCAGTCGAAGACAGTTATTTCGATCATCGACCAGATATACATCTTAAACAATTACGAAAAACTCTTGAAGATAAATCAAACTCGTTTAGTCGGTTAGAAAACTTAATTAAAAACATGTAATTTAATTTCAATAATATTTTTAAAAAAATATATTTATTATTACTAATGTCATTATTATTTAAAAAATAAAATAAAAATAAATTCTCATTTAAATGAATTGAAATTTTGCAGAAAAGCATGTGGCTTCTTTTCATTTTTTTCCCCGGGAAATGATTATAATAATTACAATAAAAGATCTGGAATTTTGAGACGAAAACGAGCGTATCGAAGATTTTACTAAAAAAAAAAAAAATGTAACTGTTTGAAATAAAAAAAAAAAAATTGTAAAATGTATACTGGAAAGTAATTTTTATTGAGACTTTTAAAGCTTCTGAAAAAAGACATTCTTCTTTATAACGAAAGAAAAGAAAAGTTTAATTAGCAAATTTTTTTGAAATATGATTCTAATCATAATTATTTTTCATTTTCATTTTCATCATCTTGTTCATTATTTAAATCGTCCTCTTCAAGACAATCGACAAGTCCTAAAATATAAAGCATTCCTGTTGCTAATAAAAGCATTCCAACATTTGGTCGTCGAATGGAATTTCCTCCTCGACGTTTACAATTTTGATGATAACAATTTTGGATTAAGCTTTCACAATTTCGATAACCATAAAAGCTAGAAAGTCACAATAAAAATGATTTAAATTCAAAATGTAAATACAAAACAAAAAATAATTTAAACTAACCAAAATGAGTAATTGAAAAAAATAAAAATTAATAATTTTAATAAAAATAATATAATTATAAAATTGAATATTTATATAAAGATAAATAATTTAAAAAAATAAATAAATTTTAATATAAAACTTTTAAAAATTATAACCTATACAACAAAATTTTAAATAAATTTTAAACTGTGATTAAAAACTGATTTTAATAAAGCTTTTTAATTTAAAAAATTAAATACCGTTTTTGTAAGAATCGAAATCCGCTAAGCTTATTTGTTAATTTACTAATTAATGCGGGCATGCTCCAGTGCACAATATATTAAAATTAATCCTGTACAAAATTTCACGACATCTCTTCTCATTTTGATATTTTCTGTTGTTAAAATATAAGATTAGTTTATCGTGGAATTTCTATATGAATTCTGATCTCTTTTGAGTTATTATTTTGCAAATTATATTTTCATTTTACAAACTTCCTCGAAAAATCAATTTTTAAATAAAAGAAAATGTTTAGTGAACTGAAAACAAAAAACAGTGTAGGAAACGAAGTTAGATTCTCATAAATTTTTATCCAAAAATTCAAGGTAATTAATTATTTCACTAATGCAGATTTATTGATGCATTTATATAGAATTAAAATAAATTAGAAATGTAAAATGTTAAGTAGAAAAATTAAAGTTTATGTGTGTCAAATGCATTGTCAATTAAAATGACATTTTTTATTTTAAAAAAAGTATTTTAATTCTTTGATAACGAGAACGTGTCAAGAAAATTTGAAAAATTGAAAAATTGAAAAATCTTGTCAAATTTTGGAACTGTCATAAGGGAAATGAGTTTCTTTCAAAAAAAAGTTGGAGGTTATCGAAAGACATTTCTAAAATCCCTTTAAATCCCGAAATTAAATTTGAATAGAAATAGTGGAGGACATGTCGAGAGATAAGATTCACGGTAAATCTTACAATTTTCCGGAGAATACAAATTGTACACCTCGTTACCACAACGTTTTTAAAGATGTCACGTCATTTCCTTACTATGAGAAAAAATATAGTTTAAACGACGAAAAATTACGACAAGATTATTTACTCAAGAAATTAAAGAATTTAAAACCAAAGGACAACAAAAAATTAACGATTGACAATGATTGTGCTTCTAATTTTCATTTAGAAAATGAAGGATCAAAGAAGAAATTGCACAAAAGGTTGAAATTTAGGTTTTAATTACTATTTTATAATTAAAATGATGAAAAAAAAAAATTTAATTTGGTAAAAAATGATCGCAATTGTGGATTGTAGGCGATGAATAACTAAAATGAACGGAAACATTTTTTACCCTTTAAAAATTATTCACCATTTTAAAAATTTAATCATGAAAAAACTATTTTAAAAAGAAATTCTACATTTTTTTTTTAAAAGCAAGTGAAATGGAAAAAAATTTTGTTCCGTTTTGTAATTTTCTTGAATTTTACATAGGAACCAAGTGATTCCGGTGAACGGTGAGAAAGCTCATGAGAAAAAACAGGATTTTCACAATCGGGAAACAACGAAAGTTTGTGAACAGTTGAATGAGTCCTCAAGGTTATCGAAGAAAATGCACCGTAACGGTTACGACAATTGTAGCCAAGGGAAACATTATTCGAAAGGATTCTTTAAAAAGTTTCCTTATAACAGTAGCGTAACAAGTTTAGAGGCAATGAACAGTTGTTCTTCATTTGATGTTCCAGTTTATCGAATAAAAAAGAATCAACAACAAACAAAACTATCGTGCAACAAATATAAAAATAAAAATAAAAAAAATACCAACAAAATACGTGGGAACAATAATAGAAAATGTAATAAATTTTCTTCAACATCACTTGTTGTGAATTACTCTCCCGAGTCCGATTTTGATTCTTATCAAGATAAACACAAAATAACAGATCTTATTGGCGGAAATAATGAGAGAAACACGAATATTTGCCAATGCTCGTCGGAATCGGATTATTCGAAAGAGGATAAAATTCCTGGTATGACATTTATAAAAAAAGGGTTAAATAAAGGGAAAATTAAACAGAATTTTTATTTAAACAAATTAAAATTTTAGAAACTAAATTTCCTATTACAAAATTTTTACTATTTTTTTTTTAAATAGTCTAAAACTGATTTTTACTTATTACTATTTTTTAAATTCAGTTATTAAATTACATAATTTTTACCGAAGCAAAATTTGTTTTTGTAAAAATTCTGTCAATTTGGTTTAATAAATAAATTCAAAATAATTAAAAATAACTTCTTTCTTGTGAAGATAAAAATTACGAGATTTCGAGGAGTACAAAGACGAACAATTGCTGCTGTTCAGAGGAAGAGAAAAAAATAAAAGCCACTTATTCATATCACTGTAGATATCCCGAATATCAAGAAAAAGATAATCAAGAGACTTATGCAAATTTTCATCCGAAATATTATGCAACACCATTCAATAAAAAGAAAAAGGCTAATTTTTTTGATAACAATGGCAAAAAATATCAAAATTACATGAATGAAAAGAAAAAAATTAAACCCATTAGAACAAGTGATATTAATTTATCTGATCTAACTCCTGATGTTCCATTGCCATCTCATTGGAGTCAATGTGGTCAACATATGACAAATGTAGCCAATGAATATCGTGATCTTTTAAATAATTTTAAAACAATTCAATCAATTGCCGTGAATCCATGTCGAAAGAAATTGAAAAAAAAATTTACAAGAACTTATCCATCAGGAAAGGAATTTACATTTGAAGTAAAACCAGCCAAGGATAGTGTCACATTTTGTAAAGGTGAAAAAAAAAATTTCTCCCATTGTCAATGTAAAAATTGTCCCCAATTGATAAAGAGTTTAAAAAATGTGAAATTTTCCAAAAATTCAAAAAAAAAATCCATAATTTTGACAGGTTACAATAATTTAATAAAGAGATATGCGTGTAAAAAAAGTGATGAGGAAATTTTTTCAAAAAAATCAAAAAAAAAATTTAATAAAATTTCACACTGTATTTGTGATGGAAAAAAAGGTGATGATGAGAAAATTTACAAAAAAGAAAATCAAAATTTAACTAATTTAAAAGGAGAAAAAATCAAATCAGTATGTGAAAATTTGACATTAAAAAATGAGAATTTAAAACATGATGGTGACAAATTGAATAAATGTCAAGAGTTGAATGCGAAAAATCAGGAATTGAATAAATTTAATTTTCCGAGAATTGTGAAGCCAAGAGGTGTTTTTTGTCGGGACAATTTGAGAAAAATTTTTATTTGTCCTCCACATGGCGAAGAAGGATCGCCATTGGTATTAAACAAAAAATGTTCAAATATCGATTGCAGGATAAAAGGAGATAATCTCAAAGGATTTAGGTACAAAGTGACATACAAACAAGAATTTTTGAGTCCTGTTTGGTATCCTGAAGAAAAAGGAAGTCCTTTCCGAAAAAGGGAAAACACAACTGAAAATGGATGAATATATATTTTTTTGGTCTTTTTTAAAAATTTAAACGATGTTGAATGTTCTGACAGAATTAGAAAGTTTCTATGAAGGGAACTATTTTCTGTTCAGAATTTATTTTTACTTTTTTTAATTCAAATTAGAAAGCAGGTTGTTTATATTTTGAAAATTACGATTTACACCATTTTATATTGTCCCCGTTTTATATTTTGTAATGAAATTTACAAATTTGATATCAATTTTTTTTCAATGAAAAAATTTGTTTAAAAAAAATTAAGATTCAGTCTCTGTGAAAAGTTAGTACTGTAAAAATTGAAAAGATTTGAAGAAATAAATTGACAATTTTTGTACAATTGAATACTTTTAATTACTAAATTATATAGAAAATTATCAATTTCGAGAAATTGATTATTTGATCTAATTTTTTATTAATCAACAATAAGTAATTGTTAATTATTTATATTAAAGTATTAATAATTTTTTAAAAACTTTATCTTAAATTGTAATTAATTACATTTAATTATAAGAATATTAAATTACAATAAATTGATTATTAAAATTTACATTTTTCATTCTAAAAAAAATTGTTTGAAACTTTTTTTTTTTAATTTTTAGTATTAATTTTTATCAGAGACTGTCGCAGATGAACTCTACTTTAAGCTTATATAAAATGAATTTTAGTTTGAGGAGTAAAACAAATCGAAGGTGTTATCAAGTGCCACAAAAGCGCCAACTTCATAATTAATGTTTATAGAAAGATTAGATAGAAATTAAATTAAATAAAAAAAAAAACCAGAAAGGATAAAATGTTTGAAAAGTTGCCGAACCCTATTCGTAAAATTGTGGGAATTACTTTGATTGTAGTAGCCGTTGACTATTTACTAACCCGATAAACAAAACTAATTTGTAAGTTAATAATTAATAAAATTATAAAAAATATATTAAATTATAAATATTTTCGAATTTATAAAAAAAAAACTAAAAAAAATTTAATTTATAATTTAAACAGCTACAATTAAATTCTTTCTGAAATTTAAAAAATTTAATTAAAAAAATTTAAATTGAAAATTTAATACTAAGGTTTTTTTTACTATTATTTTTCTATTCAATTTCATGATAGATTCAAATTGATGAAGGTAAAAATTTTGTTTTACAATTTTTGTTTTTTTTTTTTGTTAGAACGTAACAAATATTTTGACAAAATAACAGATAGGTAAATTAGTAAAATTTCTTTTTGAAAGCTTTTTAACCTACATTTAATTACGCCTTGAAAGCTTTTCAGATTAAATAAAAAAAAAAAAGGAAAAAATTTGCGTTGTGCAACTGTCGAATCGATAATGTGCAAATTTCACAGCAATTGATGTCAATCTTCACACATAAAAAAATTATTGACGTTTAGAAAAAAAAGAACGAGAAAATATTTTTGAAAATTTTTTATCAATTTATAATAATTAATTTAAAATAATAACAAGAAAAAAAAAGAGAATAAAATGCGTCCTTTGGATATTGCTATTGTAACCCTTTTACTCTATTGTGCTTACGAAATTCTTCGTTAAAGTAAGTTTGAATTGAATTTGTTTTTGCAACTTCAAAATAATTAAATTCAAATTTTTTAAAACTAAATTAACAATAATAATTTCTGTTTTACAGAAATTAAAATGATGATCGAGTCAATTTTTGAGAAAAAATTTTTTATGGCACAAAATTATTTATAAAATGCAAAATTGTTTCCCTTTTATTTCTTTGGAACGTTGATTACATTGACAGAAAAATTTCCATTTGTTTCGTGTGTTAATTATTTTGGAAAAATATTAAATTTTAATTGTACACAATGGATAGTGAAAATACAAATTTAAATTGAATAAACAGTTTCTTTATTTGATAACTTCAATTATTATTAATTTGATATTGATTAATAATTTAATATTTTATTAGATTATAAAAAAAAATTAGAATAAAGAAAATTAGAAAAAAGTATTAAAAATTAGTCACAAATATTTAAATGTTTTTATAATTACTCGTCAATCCTTTATTACAATTGTAACTTTAACAAGACTAATTAATGTCTAATGTGGCTTAATGGGGGCTCAAATCTCAGGAGTAATAAATTATTTAGATAACATCTACTTGAATTTGCGTGAAAATAGTTAGAAATTAAAAAAAATACTTTATTCTAAATTTCCTAAATTTTTCCATTTTTTTAAATAAAATTAATTAATTAAAAAAATATGTTTAATAAAGATTTAAAAAAATAAGTGTGATATAGAATACAAAAATTATTTTGCTAAAAATTATAAAATCAAGTTGCAAAATAAAATAAAAAATTTCTTGACCTTTAAAAATTGATTTTTTTTTAAGGAGGCTTAATTTTCCACTGTGAGCACACGCGAAACGATATCAGGTGTTTTATCTGAATTGTTTTAATTAATTTTTACGTGAGTAGTGTTGCGCGAAATCTGAGAAAAACAGAAAATGACAGAATTTTTTTTATTGGTTATATTCTTTTTTCTATATACAAACGGTAAAATTAAATTTTAATAAATAATAAGATAAACTTAAAAATTCAGTAAAATAATAATAGAAATAATAATAATAAAATAAAATAATGAAACATAATAGTAAATTAAAAAATAAATAATAAAATATAAATAAATAAAAAAAATTAAATTATTGTTATTTAAAAATTGAACTCGAAAGAAATGAAAATAATAGAGATAATAAAATCGATATTTTAAAGAGGATCAAAATGTTTTTTTTAAATAAACAATGTTAAATATGTGAATGGACAAAAGTTTAAAGCTGTGGAATATTTTCACTGAACACGCAATGATATCGCTTTTGGTTTGAATTGCTTTTATGAAAACGTTTTTATAGTCCACAGGGGGATTAAGGAAGTACACATATAATATATTATATGAAATAACCACGTGTTATTCTCATGACAAATAGTACACAACTGACACTGAAATACCCAAAAAAAACGACAAGTCTCCCTTTCTTTCATCTGCTTTATATTGTTACTAATTATAGACAATATATGTGGATTTATTTATTTCTAAATGAAAACATATTACATTGTTTCGTATTGCTATAATAACATAAATATGAATTATGAAATATGAAAAAAAAAATTATCTAACATTAATTTTTTAATAATTTCACGCTGAAAAAAAATTATTTGATTATCAAATAAATATTTACTTGACTTAAATAATTTTTATTTGAGTCAATTAAATGGTATTTGTTTAAAATACAGAAATTATTGATTCGAATACAGTTTATTTAATTACTTGATTTCAAAAATTATTTGGTTCAAGTAAATATATATTTGATAATAGTCAACCAATTGTTGGAATCAAATAAATTTTTTCTTCAGTGTAGTTATGGAATATAATTAATAATATTTAATTCTTAATTTTTTTTTAGAACGATAACAAAATTATGCAGTAAATATATATAGAATAAATTAGTTATAAAATATATTTACAGAATAAATGGTGTTAAAATAGAAATTGTTTTTTTACTTTGTACATTAGTAAAAATAGAAAGACGGATAAATATTCTCTGATAAAATTTGATTATAATTTTTACTCGCATGTCTTTAAATTGAAAAGCGGATTGAAATTCCCATTTTGATAGGGAGGACATATGAGAACGGTATTATTACTATTATACTTTGAACAACGATTCAGTAACTCGATTTCTAATACTATAACTGCCTTCAGGTTGGTGGATATGAATAACTTTGATATTGTAGAATGTTGTTACTTCAGAATCGCGACATTAGATCGCATTGAAATTCAAATACCTTTTCAGCCTGCATTTCTATAAATATCTCCACTGGCAATTTATATATATAATACATTTTTTTCTGACAAAATTAGCATAAATTTGTTTTTTTATTTTTTTAATTTAAAAAACATTTATTTTCATTTCAATTGTTATTTTTTGTGAAAAGAAAATTGTCTCTGATAAGAACAAATATTTATTTTCGAAAAAACATTTTTATTGAAAGAAAATATTCGAATTTTGATTTTCCTTAAAAACTAAAAAAATAATGAAAAATTTATTATAGAAAATTGGAGTTTATGTTAATGTCTTCTAATCTTTCTAAGATGAAGAGTTAAAAATATATATAGTTTTTGATTTATACGCGACTTGAGAGTAAATTAAACTATGAAAAGGAAAATATAACGTATTGCAAGAGTCGGCATGACAGAGAATATTTTGCTACTCTATTGCATCATATTTCACGGTAGAATTCACTCTGCTATAAAATTACATTTTACATTTACTCGCCATTTCCTATTCTCTTCAACTTTCATTATATAGCTCGTCGTTTTCTTCCCTCATATATGGTATTATTTTAGTGTATATATATATAGTTGAAGCAATTTTATTGTCGAAAATTTCTCCTCCGCTTTTATATTTCACATATTTAATATACCATTAACATTTCAAATCAGTATATTTTCAGTTTTCATAGACTTCCGTTCATCCTCCGCATTTTCGATTTCTCGAAACTTTAAACAATGTTCTATATTGTATAATTTATGTATTAGGACATAGATATATACCTCATTCTGATTATATACGTGCAATTAGCGCATGTGGGTTTATATTAAATTATTCTCAAAATGAAATTATGTTTAGCTAGAACTCTGAAAACTAGGTAGCTAATTAATTGTTTTCGAAATTATTTGCAGATTATTTTAACTATTTTAAAAACTCTTTTACATGTAAAGTGACAAGAATTATAATAATAATAATTATCCGTCTAAAATAAATTTTTACTACTAAAACAAAAATTAAAAGCATTTTGTCTGATTCAAATTCACCTTTTCTACTAATAAATTCACAACTTAAAAAATACTAAATCAAAATTTTTGAATCATTTTTATCTAAATGCAAAAAAAAAAAATACTAAATTAAAATTTTTTCATTTTATCTAAATGCAAAAAGAATATTAAATCAAAATTTTTGATTTTATTTAAATGCAAATAAATTTATATAAGACGGAAACTTAAAAGTTTTATACTAAAACTGTGAAATAGTGTCGTGAGATTTCAATGTCTGACTTAATAGAGGTGTGTACTACTTTACTCTAATGATCCATTGTTCTCTTCGCTTGGCAAGTGGAGAAAATTTTCCCGAAAAAATTGCATTCAAGTACTTAATAACACACTTCAAATATACTCCATGAAAAATATTTCAGAAACAAAGGTTTTGAGAAACAAATCTCTTTATAATTCTCAAGCCCAAAAAATACATTTATATAAAACAATAAAATAAACAAAAATTAAAAATCGAAAATATTTTTTATTAAAAAAAATATTTATCCAAAAATATATTTATTATATTTTTATTATTATTATTATTATTATTAATAGTAGTAGTAGTAATTCATTTTTTTTTTGCAACCAATTTGTCATATTAGTATAAATATCCAAATTCCCACCGTGCTAAATATTCCCAGTAGAGAAAGTGAGAAAGAGAATAAAACGACCCCTTTTGTCAATCTCGTTTTCTTTCATCCCTCGCAACATCTTTTATGGTGAAAATTTGTTTCGTTTTAGGTCTCCATTTCTCGAATAAAAGATAGCACATTTTTTTACATCACGTTTCACTTTCGTTTCCTTTGTTCGAAATAATAGGTATTGTTCTCTTTTTTTTTTACCTATAGCTTATAATATAGGATCCCCAATGATCCAAGCACTAATTTATTAAGACATTAGTTTAATGTAGTGAATTTATCATTTAAACGTCGGATATTATTTCTTAAGCATATTTTTCTTATACATAGAATGTATAATTTAAAATAAAAAAAAAAAAAATTGAAGATAGCAAATTGAAAATAGTTACTTCGCGCACTTTATATGAAAGTTTTTCAGATTATTCAAATGCAAGAAATGTTTAATTAAAAAATTTAATGAAAAAATATAATTTTTATTGCTCTTGACAATTTTTATTTAAAAAAAAAAAATTATTTATAAAGAGTATTTTAATTTTCTTTGTTTTAATCTACATGTTTAAATTTTTATATTTCTTTCATTTTTCATTTCTATTGTATTTTTTTTCTCACTTTTTTATAATTTTTCAAATCTTGAATTCTTAAAATTAAATTCTATATTTTATTTATTGAACTGTAATTTTATTTTCTCTTTCTGAAAAAAATTTCTTTGACCTTAAAAAATTTTTTTAAATGGATATATAAAAATTGGAAAAGTTTTTACCTTTAAATCATTTTAAAATCAAAAGAATTTTATTCCTCTCCCAAAGGGAGGAGAAAATTTTCAGTTTTTTTTTTTCTAAACTCTCTCTCTGTACATGGAATTTCTATATGAAACCCTTTTACTACTTGATACCGTGGGGAGCTTTTTGAGGGTTACAGAGATAAAGGATGTTGCGGAATTGGTTAGATCAAGTTTCGTTCCTCGGGGATATGGCATTTGTATGCACACAGGAAATGCCTGAAACGGTCCTTGCCTTTATTTGAAGTTTATTCATCTAGCCAAACTATATATGTCCACAGACTGGCTGGACTCGAAAGCAATTAACACGAAACGTGAACAATTTTTTTTTTTAATCATTTTTGTCCCACTTTTTATGAACGACAATTGAATTCTAATATTTTAAAATCAGTTTGGATAAATAATTCCAAAGACGAAATTTATATAATTAAAAATCACGTAAAAAAATAGAGAATTTTAAGAAGTGGAATTAAATTTTTTTAAATATAAAAGAAATTGTTAATTTATTCAACGATTAAAAATCAAAAAAATATATTGACTGATAAAAAAATTGTTTTTAGATTTAAATTTTTTTGCATATACAGAAACTTGCCGCAGGTAAAGTG